AGAATCCGTAGAGATGTCGACCCCTTGAGGCTGGAGGCAAAGTTTTCCAAGCGGCCGGTGAGAAGATTAATTGAAAGATCTCTGATGGAGGGTAGGCGCATGGAAACACATGCTGTACACGCTTGACATGGCATGGCCACACATGGCATGAGATCACGTGGCAGGGCAGCAGAGGCATAGAAACAGCATACAAAGATGCTTGCATGTTTGTGGAAGGATTGAGAGAAAGAGGGACTGACAGATTTGTGAGGCCAATAAGCTTGGATATGTCAGCAGGCACGCTGGTGGCCTTCACAAGGTTATACATAAGCGAGCTGCAGACAGGTGCATGTGGTAGAATGGAAAGGGAGCAGTGGGGAAAATTGAGCAATTTGTATGGATGGATGAAGCGTGAGTGGGGCGACTCGTTGGTATGCGTCAAGTTGTTTGGAGCACTTTCATACTTTTGACATCTTGGAACACTCACACAGACGTGCGTGCATTCTTAGGGAACTTACAGTGCTGCAGGTAATCCGTTAACAGTGCAATCAACACCAGCCCATCTGGTGATTCCAAACGGGATAGTTCCAGCACCCGCCGAACAGAGAGACGAGGCGGCCCAGGTTGTGGACGTCAAACCAAAGTAGGACTTGATGGATAGCATCGTGGACACTGGATAGAGATATTTGGGGGGTTAAACAGAAAGGCGGAAGTGGATGAATTAAGCATGATCTGGGGAGAGGTTGAAAGGGGAGGTGTGGGAGAGGAATTGTATGCGCGGGTGTAGGAGGGGATTTGATTGGTGAGTGCACGGAATAAATGAGTGCAGGAATTGAGAGGGAGGGGCATCAGTGATGCCATTAGGCCCACCTGAGTCAGCGGTCATGAGGACGAGAGGAGCATTCCCTGTACAGGCACACACAGGGAACAGGCAGGGGCACGAACCACCAGAGCTTTCAGACAGAGTTCAGGTGGAAAATAGCTGTAGCACATTCAGGTACAAAAACGATTTGGGGAATATAGATGGTGGGCGTTGCATTCCTTTCTCGATGGTGGATGTTCCGCACATGCCTGGCCACATCACATCAAATTCTTCAGCCTGCACATCACATGGCGTTTCCTTTGTGCTCTTTTATTATGCTATGTGAATCTCCTCTCCTCTCTGCCAATCAACAAGCGACACCCACCTGAACAAGTCAATGCCACCGGTGTCAGTGTGGGGACGTTAACAATCCCCTGGCTGACTGGCAGAGAGCTGTTGGCAGAGCAAAGTGCACCACCGCACAGCGTCCCCTGCCCGTCAGTCGTGCCGCAGATGCCGCAGGCAGTGGCGGGGCGCTGCTGCAAGCTGTAGGTGCGGCAGTAGGAGGAGCTGACGAAGCAGTTCTGGTCGGCCGCACAGGACGCGAGGGAGAGCTTTGGGAAGGAGCCCGAAAGGTAGTTAAATCCCACGTCCAGAGCGACCAGTGAGGTTGTGAGGGTGGGCATGGTGCCTGTGAGGTAGTTGGAGTAGAGGCCTTTGGTGGGGGAGGGGTATGGAGGGGGAGGGGGGGGGGGGGGGTTTAGAGGCAAGCACAACAAACGGAAGAAGAGGCACAGAGAGTAGAGGGTAAGACCAGAACGGCCAACAACGAGGCTCCTGCATGCATCTGCGGATCCTAGAAGCTGTGATTTTGGCTTACAGGGTGGTAAGCTGTGGCAGGGAGGCGATGTAGGAGGGGATCGTTCCTGATAACCAGTTGTTGTTTAGGAAGCTGGAGGGTACAAGCAGGAATGCACCGCAAAATAAGAGAATGAGAGGTCCACATAAAATGCGATGACCAGACGAATGTTTACACAATGATACCAGATTTCTTGCCTGTCTTGGCTATGCGAACACATTGGCAATAATGGGAAATATTTTACCGCTCTTATAGACGAGAATGTACTTACAGCGCCTTTAAAGAGGTCAGAACTTTGATGGGTGTGACAAGCCCGTCGAGACTGCCCTGAAAAAGGTTGTAGCCGAAATCCCTAAAGAAGGTGGGGAGAAAGAGAGAAAATGTGAAGCACATATCCGGAAGGGAAGGGTTGTGCTGGAGGCAGGTCGCAGGATGGGTTGGATAGAAAGACACTAGTTGCTAAGGCCATTGTCCATGCCACCTGTCATTTGCATATGCACGCTTGCATGCATGCATAATCACCTCTCTGGGGGGCAAAAGATGGCCGTTCACCATAAACACGAGATGAGATAAAAATGCTGGTCTGTCCATGTCTCTTCCCATCTCCCTTACTCCGTGCCCAAACAACGGGTCATGAGCCAGCTGTCAGAAGCAGCAGGGTGGCCTCCAAGGGTGTCATTGGTGTATGGCAAACAAGCACTCTACTCAATAAATAGGCATTTCCTTTGCAATGCAGTGAGCCTGTGAGTGTGTCGTGTGTCACAGGTTCTTGTGCGTGCGCCCCCTAGTTCACCCTTACAGGTAAGTGAGTGCGATGAGCTTGGAGATGTCCGAAGCAATAGACCCCTTTAGACTCTGGCGTGCCACCGAGCTGAGGGGGGGGTGATGGGAAGAGGCAGAGGGATGGGTGTGGAAGGAGTTGATAGATGCCGGCTAGTTACATGTCTGACCCCCTTCTTCCCGCCCACAAAGCTTTAGCATGCATGCATGGGTGCTCACATTGAAAGAACGTCCCCGGTATCAGTACAGAGCATGCCGGACCACGTGGTCTGTGTAGCAGCCTGCTTGCCAACCACTTGGCACGGCACACTTGCTGCCCACGTCGTGAATGTCACGCCCAGCGATACCTTGAGCGCCAGCAGTGCTGGCGAAGGGGAGGGCAGGGAGGGAAGAAATAGAGTAGCAGGGACAGCGTGGAAATTTGGAAGAGGGAAAAAGGCGTACAAGGATTAGGAAAGATGTGGAGAGAAAGACATCGGAAGAACATTGAAAACAGGAAGCACCAAAAAGCGACAGATGGATGGTGCATGGATGACAATGAGCAGCCTCCACACACCTGCAGCGCTGGTAGATAGCACGGTAGTTAGATTACCGCCTGCACATTAGGCCACAGGGAGGTTTTAGCCATGCAGAGGGTAGGTGGGTGAGTGAATCATCATCATCTTCATCCGCATCCTCATCATCCTCATCCTCATCCTCATCCTCATCATCTCATCATCATCATCATCATCATCATCATCATCATCATCATCATCATCATCATGAGAGGGTTGAACTCGTATGGAAAACAACTTGACAGACACAACACTCTGAACGCACCATGCACATTGATTTATGCAAGAATCCCAGTCCCAGACACACCCAAGCCTGCTGCACCAACGCCGATGTGAGGTGGCTACATGCAACCCACATGGAGGGTTAAGGCACGTTACCTGAGCAGACCATGGGTGGCAATGGCAGCTGTCCATAATTGTTTGTGTTGGCTGCAATTTTATCAGCAGCTGCGACCATGCATTCCCCACCAGCGCCAAAGCAAAAGGGCGCAACGGCATTGGTAGTGGCACAGATGGCACAGTCAGCAGCAGGTCGCTGCACAATCCCGGAACTGGAGCACTTGGTGGGATCGGAGAGGCAGCAAGAATCGCCGACACAGACGGTGAGTGCAGGGGTGGCGATGTCCGAAATGTAGTTGTTTTTGAAGTAGAGCCGCTTCATGGCTGTACCCATGGCCGGGATGCTACCAGTGAGGAAGTTGTAAGTGAGCTTTCTGAGGAGATGGGAGTGGGAGGGACAAAAGGGTATGTGACGAAGGGTTCTGTGTGAGGGGGAAGGGAGACAACAAGCACAGTTGAGATAATGGAAAGGGTCTGAAAGCGTTTTATTGAAAGGCATGGCATGATGTTACTTGCAGTTTGGTGAGTGCTGGGAGATTCACAAGGTACGAAGGGACTGAGCCGTAGAGATAGTTGTAACTTAGTGATCTGCCAAGTGAAGGGGGGGGTGTTGGCGGCCGTATTAATAACACTCACTCGGGCTGAGGATCCGCGGCTTGCTCCGATCGAACCCGCTCCCACAGACACTCAAATTCGGCCAACACTTCTTCCTGATGCGTCATAGGTATGAGGGAGCAGCGAACTCTCCTTCCAGTTAACTTCATGCCCCCATCCATCCTTTCAAGTATGCGGCAAGGGTAATGCTTGTTGAGATGTGATGTCAATACGGCAGGACATGAAAGTTCTATTTACAGTGAATTTAATTGTCCTCCCATTGCAGCCAAGTGCGTGGATTGTTACCCCGTGAACGGCCATGTTGTTCATTTTACAGTACTCAAATTACAGGCTCGCATGCTAATGACTGCTCAAATGCTCTTGACGGCTCACAGAATCCGTAGAGATGTCGACCCCTTGAGGCTGGAGGCAAAGTTTTCCAAGCGGCCGGTGAGAAGATTAATTGAAAGATCTCTGATGGAGGGTAGGCGCATGGAAACACATGCTGTACACGCTTGACATGGCATGGCCACACATGGCATGAGATCACGTGGCAGGGCAGCAGAGGCATAGAAACAGCATACAAAGATGCTTGCATGTTTGTGGAAGGATTGAGAGAAAGAGGGACTGACAGATTTGTGAGGCCAATAAGCTTGGATATGTCAGCAGGCACGCTGGTGGCCTTCACAAGGTTGTACATAAGCGAGCTGCAGACAGGTGCATGTGGTAGAATGGAAAGGGAGCAGTGGGGAAAATTGAGCAATTTGTATGGATGGATGAAGCGTGAGTGGGGCGACTCGTTGGTATGCGTCAAGTTGTTTGGAGCACTTTCATACTTTTGACATCTTGGAACACTCACACAGACGTGCGTGCATTCTTAGGGAACTTACAGTGCTGCAGGTAATCCGTTAACAGTGCAATCAACACCAGCCCATCTGGTGATTCCAAACGGGATAGTTCCAGCACCTGCCGAACAGAGAGACGAGGCGGCCCAGGTTGTGGACGTCAAACCAAAGTAGGACTTGATGGATAGCATCGTGGACACTGGATAGAGATATTTGGGGGGTTAAACAGAAAGGCGGAAGTGGATGAATTAAGCATGATCTGGGGAGAGGTTGAAAGGGGAGGTGTGGGAGAGGAATTGTATGCGCGGGTGTAGGAGGGGATTTGATTGGTGAGTGCACGGAATAAATGAGTGCAGGAATTGAGAGGGAGGGGCATCAGTGATGCCATTAGGCCCACCTGAGTCAGCGGTCATGAGGACGAGAGGAGCATTCCCTGTACAGGCACACACAGGGAACAGGCAGGGGCACGAACCACCAGAGCTTTCAGACAGAGTTCAGGTGGAAAATAGCTGTAGCACATTCAGGTACAAAAACGATTTGGGGAATATAGATGGTGGGCGTTGCATTCCTTTCTCGATGGTGGATGTTCCGCACATGCCTGGCCACATCACATCAAATTCTTCAGCCTGCACATCACATGGCGTTTCCTTTGTGCTCTTTTATTATGCTATGTGAATCTCCTCTCCTCTCTGCCAATCAACAAGAGACACCCACCTGAACAAGTCAATGCCACCGGTGTCAGTGTGGGGACGTTAACAATCCCCTGGCTGACTGGCAAAGAGCTGTTGGCAGAGCAAAGTGCACCACCGCACAGCGTCCCCTGCCCGTCAGTCGTGCCGCAGATGCCGCAGGCAGTGGCGGGGCGCTGCTGCGAGCTGTAGGTGCGGCAGTAGGAGGAGCTGACGAAGCAGTTCTGGTCGGCCGCACAGGACGCGAGGGAGAGCTTTGGGAAGGAGCCCGAAAGGTAGTTAAATCCCACGTCCAGAGCGACCAGTGAGGTTGTGAGGGTGGGCATGGTGCCTGTGAGGTAGTTGGAGTAGAGGCCTCTGGTGGGGGAGGGGTATGGAGGGGGAGGGGGGGGGGGGGGTTAGAGGCAAGCACAACAAACGGAAGAAGACGCACAGAGAGTAGAGGGTAAGACCAGAACGGCCAACAACGAGGCTCCTGCATGCATCTGCGGATCCTAGAAGCTGTGAGTTTGGCTTACAGGGTGGTAAGCTGTGGCAGGGAGGCGATGTAGGAGGGGATCGTTCCTGATAACCAGTTGTTGTTTAGGAAGCTGGAGGGTACAAGCAGGAATGCACCGCAAAATAAGAGAATGAGAGGTCCACATAAAATGCGATGACCAGACGAATGTTTACACAATGATACCAGATTTCTTGCCTGTCTTGGCTATGCGAACACATTGGCAATAATGGGAAATATTTTACCGCTCTTATAGACGAGAATGTACTTACAGCGCCTTTAAAGAGGTCAGAACTTTGATGGGTGTGACAAGCCCGTCGAGACTGCCCTGAAAAAGGTTGTAGCCGAAATCCCTAAAGAAGGTGGGGAGAAAGAGAGAAAATGTGAAGCACATATCCGGAAGGGAAGGGTTGTGCTGGAGGCAGGTCGCAGGATGGGTTGGATAGAAAGACACTAGTTGCTAAGGCCATTGTCCATGCCACCTGTCATTTGCATATGCACGCTTGCATGCATGCATAATCACCTCTCTGGGGGGCAAAAGATGGCCGTTCACCATAAACACGAGATGAGATAAAAATGCTGGTCTGTCCATGTCTCTTCCCATCTCCCTTACTCCGTGCCCAAACAACGGGTCATGAGCCAGCTGTCAGAAGCAGCAGGGTGGCCTCCAAGGGTGTCATTGGTGTGTGGCAAACAAGCACTCTACTCAATAAATAGGCATTTCCTTTGCAATGCAGTGAGCCTGTGAGTGTGTCGTGTGTCACAGGTTCTTGTGCGTGCGCCCCCTAGTTCACCCTTACAGGTAAGTGAGTGCGGTGAGCTTGGAGATGTCCGAAGCAATAGACCCCTTTAGACTCTGGCGTGCCACCGAGCTGAGGGGGGGGTGATGGGAAGAGGCAGAGGGATGGGTGTGGAAGGAGTTGATAGATGCCGGCTAGTTACCTGTCTCACCCCCTTCTTCCCGCCCACAAAGCTTTAGCATGCATGCATGGGTGCTCACATTGAAAGCACGTCCCCGGTATCAGTACAGAGCACGCCGGACCACGTGGTCTGTGTAGCAGCCTGCTTGCCAACCACTTGGCACGGCACACTTGCTGCCCACGTCGTGAATGTCACGCCCAGCGATACCTTGAGCGCCAGCAGTGCTGGCGAAGGGGAGGGCAGGGAGGGAAGAAATAGAGTAGTAGGGACAGCGTGGAAATTTGGAAGAGGGAAAAAGGCGTACAAGGATTAGGAAAGATGTGGAGAGAAAGACATCGGAAGAACATTGAAAACAGGAAGCACCAAAAAGCGACAGATGGATGGTGCATGGATGACAATGAGCAGCCTCCACACACCTGCAGCGCTGGTAGATAGCACGGTAGTTAGATTACCGCCTGCACATTAGGCCACAGGGAGGTTTTAGCCATGCAGAGGGTAGGTGGGTGAGTGAATCATCATCATCTTCGTCGTCGTCGTCATCGTCATCATCATCCTCATCCGCATCCTCATCATCCTCATCCTCATCCTCATCCTCATCATCTCATCATCATCATCATCATCATCATCATCATCATCATCATCATCATCATCATCATCATCATCATCATCATCATCATGAGAGGGTTGAACTCGTATGGAAAACAACTTGACAGACACAACACTCTGAACGCACCATGCACATTGATTTGTGCAAGAATCCCAGTCCCAGACACACCCAAGCCTGCTGCACCAACGCCGATGTGAGGTGGCTACATGCAACCCACATGGAGGGTTAAGGCACGTTACCTGAGCAGACCATGGGTGGCAATGGCAGCTGTCCATAATTGTTTGTGTTGGCTGCAATTTTATCAGCAGCTGCGACCATGCATTCCCCACCAGCGCCAAAGCAAAAGGGCGCAACGGCATTGGTAGTGGCACAGATGGCACAGTCAGCAGCAGGTCGCTGCACAGTCCCGGAACTGGAGCACTTGGTGGGATCGGAGAGGCAGCAAGAATCGCCGACACAGACGGTGAGTGCAGGGGTGGCGATGTCCGAAATGTAGTTGTTTTTGAAGTAGAGCCGCTTCAAGGCTGTACCCATGGCCGGGATGCTACCAGTGAGGAAGTTGTAAGTGAGCTTTCTGAGGAGATGGGAGTGGGAGGGACAAAAGGGTATGTGACGAAGGGTTCTGTGTGAGGGGGAAGGGAGACAACAAGCACAGTTGAGATAATGGAAAGGGTCTGAAAGCGTTTTATTGAAAGGCATGGCATGATGTTACTTACAGTTCGGTGAGTGCTGGGAGATTCACAAGGTACGAAGGGACTGAGCCGTAGAGATAGTTGTAACTTAGTGATCTGCCAAGTGAAGGGGGGGGTGTTGGCGGCCGTATTAATAACACTCACTCGGGCTGAGGATCCGCGGCTTGCTCCGATCGAACCCGCTCCCACAGACACTCAAATTCGGCCAACACTTCTTCCTGATGCGTCATAGGTCTGAGGGAGCAGCGAACTCTCCTTCCAGTTAACTTCATGCCCCCATCCATCCTTTCAAGTATGCGGCAAGGGTAATGCTTGTTGAGATGTGATGTCAATACGGCAGGACATGAAAGTTCTATTTACAGTGAATTTAATTGTCCTCCCATTGCAGCCAAGTGCGTGGATTGTTACCCCGTGAACGGCCATGTTGTTCATTTTACAGTACTCAAATTACAGGCTCGCATGCTAATGACTGCTCAAATGCTCTTGACGGCTCACAGAATCCGTAGAGATGTCAACCCCTTGAGGCTGGAGGCAAAGTTTTCCAAGCGGCCGGTGAGAAGATTAATTGAAAGATCTCTGATGGAGGGCAGGCGCATGGAAACACATGCTGTACACGCTTGACATGGCATGGCCACACATGGCATGAGATCACGTGGCAGGGCAGCAGAGGCATAGAAACAGCATACAAAGATGCTTGCATGTTTGTGGAAGGATTGAGAGAAAGAGGGACTGACAGATTTGTGAGGCCAATAAGCTTGGATATGTCAGCAGGCACGCTGGTGGCCTTCACAAGGTTGTACATAAGCGAGCTGCAGACAGGTGCATGTGGTAGAATGGAAAGGGAGCAGTGGGGAAAATTGAGCAATTTGTATGGATGGATGAAGCGTGAGTGGGGCGACTCGTTGGTATGCGTCAAGTTGTTTGGAGCACTTTCATACTTTTGACATCTTGGAACACTCACACAGACGTGCGTGCATTCTTAGGGAACTTACAGTGCTGCAGGTAATCCGTTAACAGTGCAATCAACACCAGCCCATCTGGTGATTCCAAACGGGATAGTTCCAGCACCCGCCGAACAGAGAGACGAGGCGGCCCAGGTTGTGGACGTCAAACCAAAGTAGGACTTGATGGATAGCATCGTGGACACTGGATAGAGATATTTGGGGGGTTAAACAGAAAGGCGGAAGTGGATGAATTAAGCATGATCTGGGGAGAGGTTGAAAGGGGAGGTGTGGGAGATGAATTGTATGCGCGGGTGTAGGAGGGGATTTGATTGGTGAGTGCACGGAATAAATGAGTGCAGGAATTGAGAGGGAGGGGCATCAGTGATGCCATTAGGCCCACCTGAGTCAGCGGTCATGAGGACGAGAGGAGCATTCCCTGTACAGGCACACACAGGGAACAGGCAGGGGCACGAACCACCAGAGCTTTCAGACAGAGTTCAGGTGGAAAATAGCTGTAGCACATTCAGGTACAAAAACGATTTGGGGAATATAGATGGTGGGCGTTGCATTCCTTTCTCGATGGTGGATGTTCCGCACATGCCTGGCCACATCACATCAAATTCTTCAGCCTGCACATCACATGGCGTTTCCTTTGTGCTCTTTTATTATGCTATGTGAATCTCCTCTCCTCTCTGCCAATCAACAAGCGACACCCACCTGAACAAGTCAATGCCACCGGTGTCAGTGTGGGGACGTTAACAATCCCCTGGCTGACTGGCAGAGAGCTGTTGGCAGAGCAAAGTGCACCACCGCACAGCGTCCCCTGCCCGTCAGTCGTGCCGCAGATGCCGCAGGCAGTGGCGGGGCGCTGCTGCAAGCTGTAGGTGCGGCAGTAGGAGGAGCTGACGAAGCAGTTCTGGTCGGCCGCACAGGACGCGAGGGAGAGCTTTGGGAAGGAGCCCGAAAGGTAGTTAAATCCCACGTCCAGAGCGACCAGTGAGGTTGTGAGGGTGGGCATGGTGCCTGTGAGGTAGTTGGAGTAGAGGCCTTTGGTGGGGGAGGGGTATGGAGGGGGACGGGGGGGGGGGGGGTTTAGAGGCAAGCACAACAAACGGAAGAAGACGCACAGAGAGTAGAGGGTAAGACCAGAACGGCCAACAACGAGGCTCCTGCATGCATCTGCGGATCCTAGAAGCTGTGAGTTTGGCTTACAGGGTGGTAAGCTGTGGCAGGGAGGCGATGTAGGAGGGGATCGTTCCTGATAACCAGTTGTTGTTTAGGAAGCTGGAGGGTACAAGCAGGAATGCACCGCAAAATAAGAGAATGAGAGGTCCACATAAAATGCGATGACCAGACGAATGTTTACACAATGATACCAGATTTCTTGCCTGTCTTGGCTATGCGAACACATTGGCAATAATGGGAAATATTTTACCGCTCTTATAGACGAGAATGTACTTACAGCGCCTTTAAAGAGGTCAGAACTTTGATGGGTGTGACAAGCCCGTCGAGACTGCCCTGAAAAAGGTTGTAGCCGAAATCCCTAAAGAAGGTGGGGAGAAAGAGAGAAAATGTGAAGCACATATCCGGAAGGGAAGGGTTGTGCTGGAGGCAGGTCGCAGGATGGGTTGGATAGAAAGACACTAGTTGCTAAGGCCATTGTCCATGCCACCTGTCATTTGCATATGCACGCTTGCATGCATGCATAATCACCTCTCTGGGGGGCAAAAGATGGCCGTTCACCATAAACACGAGATGAGATAAAAATGCTGGTCTGTCCATGTCTCTTCCCATCTCCCTTACTCCGTGCCCAAACAACGGGTCATGAGCCAGCTGTCAGCAGCAGCAGGGTGGTCTCCAAGGGTGTCCTTGGTGTGTGGCACACAGGCACTCTACTCAATAAATAGGCATTTCCTTTGCAATGCAGTCAGCCTGTGAGTGTGTCGTGTGTCACAGGTTCTTGTGCGTGCGCCCCCTAGTTCACCCTTACAGGTAAGTGAGTGCGGTGAGCTTGGAGATGTCCGAAGCAATAGACCCCTTTAGACTCTGGCGTGCCACCGAGCTGGGGAGGGGTGATGGGAAGAGGCAGAGGGATGAGTGTGGAAGGAGTTGATAGATGCCGGCTAGTTACCTGTCTGACCCCCTTCTTCCCGCCCACAAAGCATTAGCATGCATGCAAGGGTGCTCACATTGAAAGAACGTCCCCGGTATCAGTGCAGAGCACGCCGGACCACGTGGTCTGTGTGGCAGCCTGCTTGCCAACTATTTGGCACGGCACAGTTGCTGCCCACGTCGTGAATGTCACGCCCAGCGAAACCTTGAGCGCCAGCAGTGCTGGCGAAGGGGAGGGCGGGGAGGGAAGAAATAGAGTAGCAGGGACAGCGTGGAAATTTGGAAGAGGGAAAAAGGCGTACAAGGATTAGGAAAGATGTGGAGAGAAAGACATCGGAAGAACATTGAAAAGAGAAAGCAGCAAAAATCTACATACAACAGATAGATGGTGCATGGATGACAATGCAAGACAAGGAGCAGCCTCCACACACCTGCAGCTCTGGTAGATAACACGGTAGTTAGATTACCGCCTGCACAGTAGGCCACAGGGAGATTTTAGCCATGCAGAAGGTAGGTGGGTGAGTGAATCATCATCATCATCATCATACGAGGGGTGAACGCATATGGAAAGCAACTTGACAAACAGAACACTCAGAATGCACCACGCACATTCATTTACGCAAGAATCCCAGTCCCAGACACACCCAAGCCTGCTGCACCAACGGTGATATGAGGTGGCTAAGGAGAGTGTGGAACCCACATGGAGGGTAAAGGTACGTTACCTGAGCTGACCATGGGTGGGATAGGCGTGAGCGATACTGAATTTAGTATTTTGGCTGCAATGTTACTAGCAGCTGCGACCATGCACTCCCCACCGGCGCCCCACCAAAAGGGAGGGACGGCATTGGTAGTGCCACAGATGGCGCAGTCAGCAGCGGGTCGCTGGACGGTCCCGGAACTGGAGCACTTGGAAGGATCAACGAGGCAGCCAAGATTGCCGCCGCAGAAGATGAGTGAATGGGCGGCGATGCTGTAAATGTAGTTGCTTTTGAAGTTGAGTGCTTTCAAGCCCGTACTCATGCCTGGGATGCTACCAGTGAGGAAGTTGAACTCCAACCTTCTGAGGAGATGAGAATGGGGGTTTCAAAAGGGCATGTGACAACAAGCACAGTTGAGAAGGGAAAGGGTCTGAATTTTTTTCATTACAAAAGATAGCATGATGCCACTTACAGTTCGGTGAGTGCTGGGAGATTCACGAGGTACGTAGGGACCGAGCCGTACATATAGTTGTAGCTTAGTGATCTGCCAAGAGGGCGGGAGAGTTGGTAACCAGATTAATGACACTCACTCAGGCTGACAAAGCGCAGCTTGCTGCAATTGAACCTGCTCCTACCGACACTCAGATCCAAGCAGAAAACCCATAATTCTGAGAGAGCAGCAAGATCTCCTTCCAGTTCTAAGGAAGTCCCTATGCATCTCTGTAACTATTCAGCAAGGGTTCTGCTTGTCGAGATGTGAAATGAATATGACAGGACATGAAATGGCTCTTTGATGAAGTGCATGGATTCTTACCCTTCACCAGCCATGTTGCTCATTTTACGGTTTTCATATCACAAGCTCGCATGCTCGTGACTGCTCACATACTCTATGCTGCTGATCAAATGCTCTGGACTGCTCACAAGAATTGTAGAGATGTCAACCCCTTGATGCTGGAGGCGAAGTCTTCCAAGCGGCCGGTGAGAAGATTAATTGAAAGATCTCTGATGGAAGGAAGGCGCATGGAAACACATGCTGCACACGCTTGACATGGCATGGCCACACATGGCATGACGTGGCATGAGACCACGTGGCAAGGGAGCAGAGGCATAGAAACAGCTCGCAGAGATGCTAGCATGTTTGTGGAAGGAGTGAGATACAAGGGTATGTGGGAGAGAAAGAGGGACTGACAGAATTGTGAGGGCAGTAAGCTTGGACATGTCAGCAGGCAGGCTGGTGGCCTTCAAAGAATTGAAGGCAAGCTGCCTCCAGACAGGTGCATGTGGTAGAATGGAAAGGGAGCAGTGGGAGAAATCGAGCCATATGAATGCATAGATGGATGGATGGATGGATGGATGGATGGATGGATGGATGGATGGATGGATGGATGGATGCTTGGATGCTTGGATGCTTGGATGGATTAAGGGCAAAGAGTGATGCGACCCATTGGCATGCCTCAAGGTGTTTGGAACGCTCTCAAACTTTTGTTTTCTTGGAGTACTCACACAGTCGTGCATTCTTGAGGCACTTACATTGATGCAGGCGATCCGTCAGCGGAGCAATCAACACGAGACCAGCTGGAGGTGATTCCACTCTGGACAGGTGCACTACCCACCACACAGACAGTGGAGGCGGTCCAGTCTGTGTATGTCAAACCAAAGTATGACTTGATGGAAAGCATCGCGGATACTGGATGGAGAGAGTCGGGGGGTAAACAGAAAGGCGGAAGAGGACGAATTAAGCACTATCTGGGGAGAGGTTGAAAGAGGAGCTGTGGGGGAGAAAGCTTATGCGAGGGTGTAGAAGGCGATTTGATTGGTGAGTGCACGGAATATATGGGAATGCAGGATTTGAATGAGACGGCTCACCTGACGCAGCATTCATGAGGACGAGAGGAGCATACCCTGTCCAGGCACACACAGGGAACAGTTCAAAGGCACGAAACAGCAGAACACTCAGACAGAATTCAGGTGGAAAATAGCTGCAGCACATTCAGGTACAAAAAGATTGGGGAAATGCTGACGTAATAAGGACAAATAGATGGTGGATGTTGCATTCCTTTTTCAATGGTGGATGTTCCCCACATGCCTGGCAACATCATATCAAAACCTTCAGCCTGCCCATCTGATGGCGTTTCCTTTGTGCTCTTTTCTTATGCTATGTGAATCTCCTCTCCTCTCTGCCAATCCACAAGCGACACGCACCCTGGCAAGCCATGGACACCGGCGGCAGCGAGGCGACGTTGACAGTCCCAATGCTGGCATAGGGACCGCTGTTGGGGGCACAAAGTCCACTACCGCACAGCGTTCCCTGCCCGTCGTTCGTGCCGCAAATGGCGCAGGCAGTGGCGGGGCGCTGCAGCGAGCTTAAGGCGCGGCAGTTGGAGGAGTTGAGGAAGCAGTTCTGGTCAGCCGCACAGAAAGCGAGATAGATCTTGGGGAAGGAGCCTGATAGGAAGTTAAAGGCCACGTCCAAAGAGACTAGAGAGGTAGGGAGGGGAGGTATGGTGCCCGTGAGGTAGTTGGAGGAGAGGCCTCTGGTGGGGGAGGGGTATAAGGGGGGTGGAGAGACGATCACAGGAAACAGAAGAAGTAGCACAGATCGAGGAGGCATAAGATTGAAGCGAAATTGAGACATGAGAGAGAAGAGGGTAGTTGAGCTGCTTCCAGGCAAGACCAGAAACGAGGCTCCTGCATGTATCTGCGGATCCTAGAAGCTGTGTGTTTGGCTTACAGGTTGGTAAGCTGAGGCAAGGAGGAGAGGAAGGAGGGGATTGTTCCATATAACCAGTTGTTGTTGAATAATCTGGGGGGTAGAAGCACGAATGCACCGCAAGAGAAGAGAATGAGACGTCCACAAAAAAAATCATTTTGAGAACGGCCAGAGGAAGGGTTACATAATGATACCAGAATTCTTGCTTGGTTTGGCTGTGTCAACACCATACACTACAACGGAAACGAATTTACAGCTCTTATAGAGGAGAAGGTACTTACAGCGCCTTTAAAGAGGTCATGCCACTGACGGGTGTGGCAAGCCCGACGAGAGTAGACTGAAAAAGGTTGTAGCCGAAATCCCTGAAGCAGGTGGGGGAGAGACAAAACAAATATGAAGCACATATCGGGAAGGGAAGGGTTGTGCTGGAGGCAGGTCGCGGGATGGGTTGGAGAGAAAGACACCTTCACATCAGGAGCATGGGTCACCCTGTCATTTGCAGATGCTTGCATGCATGCATGCATAATCACCGCTCTGGTATGTTGTTCTGTCCATGTCTCTTCCCATCTCCCTTAGTCATGAGCCAACCGCCAGCAGCAGCAGGGTGGACTTCAATTGCAGAACCAGAAACTCCCTGTTCTTGGTGTGCCCCACACAGGCACTCGACACAACAACTAAGCAACTCCTTTGCAATGCAGTCAGCATATCAGTGTGCACGTGTGCCACAGGTTCTTGTGAGTGCACACCCTAGTTCACCCTTACAGGTAAGTGAGCGTGGTGAGCTTGGAGATGTCCGTAGGAATAGACCCCGATAACCTCTGACTCGCCAACGAACTGAGGGGGGGTGATGGGAAGAGGCAGAGGGGTGGGTGTGGAAGGAGTTGACAGAGGCCGGCTAGTTACCTGTCTGACCCCCTTCTTCCCTCCCAAAAAGCTTTACCATGTATGCATGGGTGCTCACATTGAAACCACGTCCCCAGTATCCCCACAGAGCACACCGGACCACGATTGCGGCCCTGCAGGAACCTGCTTTCCAGCCACTTGGCACGGCGTACTTGCTGCCCACGTCAATAAATTCACACCCAGCGCTGCCTTGAGCGTCAGCAGTACTGGGGACAGTAGAGGGGGGGTGAAGATGGGAGAGTTAGTTACGGGAGGTGAGGACACGCAGAACATGGAAGAAAGAGGCGGGAAGCGGGGCAGTGGGATCATAGATTGGCAGAAACACAACGCGTGCTGCATTTGATACTTAGTGATTGTGAAAAGACAATGCACGACGCACACACACCTCCAGCAGCGCTAGGTGACATGGTAGCTAGTTGACCGCCTGCAGGAGTTTGGGCCATATAGAAGATAGGCAGGTGAGTGAATAATCATCATCAACAGCGGTAGCAGCAGCAGCAGTGGTGGTGGCGGCAGCGGCAGAAGAAGTTGAAAGAGCAGAAGGGTGGACGAGTAAGGAAACCAACATGACATACACATTATTCAAAAGTAAGGAGACAAACATGACATGAATCTCCCAGTCCCAGACACACCCTAGCCTGCTGCACCAACGCTGAGGCTAGGTGTTTAAGGAGGTGTGGACCGACACAGATGGTTAAGGCACATTACCCGAACAGAGCATGGGTGGGGCCGCAGCGTTTGCCACTGTGTTCAATGTGCCAGCTGCTATGTAAGAAGCAGCAGCAGCCACGCACTCCCCACCAGCACCCCAGCACATGGGACCGACGGCGTTGGTAGTGCCACAGATGGAGCAACTAGCAGCAGATTTCTGGGTGGTGATTGGGCCATCAAGGCACTTGAGGGGATCAGTGAGGCAGCTGTTAAAACCAGTGCATGAGATGAGTGAGTTTGTGCCGATGTCCGTAATGTAGTTGTTGTCGATATAGAGAAACATCAAGCTTGAACCCATGGCTGGAACGCTACCCGTGAGGAAATTGTTATTCACGGCTCTGACGGGAGGAGAAGGATGAAAAGGGGGGGTTGGAGGGGGAGGGTTGTAGGTCAGAAAGGGAGGTAGCTGGCAAGGTCGAGAGAATATATAGGTGAGCATGAAATGGCATGATGTTACTTACAGCTCTCTCAATGCTGGGAGATTTACGAGGTACGAGGGGACTGAGCCGTAGAGATAGTTGTATTGCAGATATCTGCCAAGTGCATGTCAGGGGAGTTGGTGGCCTGATTGATGTCACTCACTTGCTCAGCTCTAACGGATAATCTTCCTTGTGCGTTATTGTCCCAAAAGGGCAGCAAAAATGTATTCCAGGTAACTGCATGCCCCCATCTGTCCCTTCACGTGTGTGGCAAGTTCAGTGTCCGTGGACATGTGAAAGAAGAAGTACGCCGGAAACATGAATTTTCCTTCTCGGCATAACGTGTTCCGTTGATGGCCATTTGCCCCTTCATTCATGGCCATTTTGCGGTTATAAAGTTGCATGATCGCCGCATGCTCGTCCTATGCTCTTTACTACTTCCATGATTTAAACTACTCACCTGCTCCTGGCTGCTCACCTGCTCTTGACTGGTCACATGTTCCTGACTGCTTGCATGCACTGGACTGCTTATATGCTCTTGACTGCTCTCATATCAATTGCTCAAATGGTGCTCAAACAAGTACTGGTGTTGAGTGCCCTCATGATGCTGCCTTGACTGCTCACATCCTCTTGACTTGACGGCTCACAAGATCCGTAGAGCTGAGAGCCCTTTGAGGCTGGACGAGAAGTCTTCCAAGCGGCCGTTTAAGAGATTTCGGTGAAAATACCTGGTTGAGGGCAGGCGGATGGGAACACATGCAGCACATGGCTTGTCATGGCAAAAGAGCACATGGCATGAAAGCAAGTGGCGGCAGAGGCAGAGAAATATCAGCAGTGCATGAGAGAGATAAACAGGAGCTGAAGTTGCATGAAAATGTTCCCAGTCTCGTTTGGTTTGGAAGTTTGCATGTACCTAAGGCCGCTATAATACAAAAGACCGTTTCAGAGGGACTGACAGTTGTGTTATGGCAGTGAGCTTGGACATGTCAGCAGGCAGGCTGGTGGCCTTCACTGTCATGCTTGCTAAGTTCCTGCAGACGATTTAGTGAACAAAGGGTGGAGAGCAACGGAACAGTTCTAACCACGTGCATGGCTTATGGGCCCACACATGAAGTGTAAAGAGTGTGAGTCGTCCCATTGATGATGATGTACCCTAGTCTTATGCCAATACTGCTCCTAGTGCGGTGCTGATGCGAGCGATTGGTAGCAACGCTTCCTTCACTGGACATGTAAACAGGAGCCTAGCAGGGACATGCAGAGCAGACTCAATCACAAGTAGGTGATTGCTCCACGATTGTTTGAGGCATTTGTGAAATAATAAATATTCACGAACTCACAATCTCTTGGGTGCCCCATCTAAGGTGCATTGAACAGTAGACCAGATGGCTCCCGCTGGGAGAGTTCCGGAGCCCACAGGGCAAAGAGAGGAGGAGGCCCAACCCGTGAACGTCAACCCTAGGGATGACTTGATGGATAGCATCACGGACACTGGATGGAGAGAATGGGGAAGGAAAGGGAAAATTGGGGGAGGGTGGATTAAGGACAGTTTGGAAAGGGTTGATGTATGCAGGTGTGTGTGCTACTCGATTGGTGGGTGCCAGGAAGGAGTGCGGGTGCAAGAAGAGAGTGGGAGGCGCATGGGTGTTGGCGTTTAGAAAGAAAGGCCCACCCACCTGAGGCAGCATTCATGAGGACCGTGGGAGCATATCCTGTACGGGCACCACAGGGAAGAGACAGAGGCACAAACCAGTCAGCCAGAGAAATTTCAGGTAGAAAGTAAATTAAACAATGTATTGAGGGAACATTACGTAAAACGAACATACGAAGAGATGGTGGCGTTTAACTTGCATTTAGATTTGAATGATGGCGCAGGCCCCATGGGCTAGGCCCAGCATATCATTCCCTTGACCATGCGTGTCATGCACGCTCCCTTTTTTTCTTAACGTATCTCCAATCCCCTCGGCCAACTAACATGCAACACGCACCACTACAAGTCAGGGAAACCGGCGTCAGCGAGGGGGTATTGACGATTCCCTGGCTGACTGGCGTAAAGCTGTCGGCGGAGCAAAGTGCACCACCGCACAGCGTTCCCTGCCCGTTGGTCGTGCCGCAGATGCTGCAGGCAGTGGCGGTGCGCTGCAGCGAGCCGTAGGTGCGGCAGAAGGAGGAGTTGAGGAAGCAGTTCTGGTCGGCCGCACAGACCGCGAGGGAGAGCTTGGGGAAGGTTCCAGAGAGATAGTTAAAGCCCACGTCCAGAGCGAGCAGGGAGGTGGAGGGGATGGGCATGGTGCCCGTGAGGTAGTTGGAGAAAAGGCCTCTGGAGAAAGTGGGGGGGGGGGGGGCGGGGGGGAGACAGAAGGGGGAGAGGGGAGCAGGCGTGGGTCATAAGATCAAGACGAAAGCGATATGTGAAAAAGACAAGTGAAACAAGTTGCTTTCAGGCATGAGAAGAATGGCCAGCAACGAGGCTTCTGCATGCATCTGCTGATCATTTTCTTGAACCCCAATGATTTGGGAGTCACTTCTGAGAATTCTCAAAAGTGAACCCTTGTGTTTGATAGAGAGACAATGACGAGCCTCATACCATACCACCTAGACAGGCTGGACACTATACTGCCAAACCTCAAACCCTTTTGGACCGAACTGGTACTGTTAGACCATGAGAGCAATTCGACGAAGTTGGGCCCGAACCAGTTCGTGTTTGGTTTGTGCTCTTGTTTAAAATATAGTATGGCATTTTTATCATCTGTGTGTTTTGCTTACAGCGTGGTGAGTTGAGGCAGAGAGACAATGGTGGAGGGAATGGATCCTTCAAACCAGTTGTAGCTTAAAAAGCTGGGGGGAGGGGAAGTGGGATTGCACCAAGAGAGAAGAGAATGAGATGTCTATGTTGAGAACGGCCAGAAGAAGGGATGCACAATGATACCATTGTGCATGCATCAGAAGGGAAAAGGTATATCATACAACCGATTGATGCACACGCGGCACAGAACCGATGATGAGGACGTTTTCCCAGCCCTTAACGAGGAGAACGAACTCACAGCGCCTTTAGACTGGTCGCGTCTTTCATTTGTCCGGACCACAATTCGAGACTGCCTCGAAAAAGGTTGTAACTAGCATCCCTGAAGCAGGTGGATGGGAACAGTTGATTTATAGGAAGGCTGGCTTGGAGAGAGAAGGACGCTACTTATTAAGGCCATTCTCCGTGAGAGCATCACATGCTGATTCACCCTTTTCTCTGCAGATGCACACGTCCATGCATATTCAACCTCTTCGGGGGGGCGAAGGATGGCCGTTCACCATCGACAAGTGATGAGAGAAAAAAACAAACTGTCCGTTCCATGTTCCTTTCCATCTCCCTTACCCCGTGGCCAAATGACTGGCCATGGGACCCCGCCAGCAGCATCAGGCTGGTCTTGCGTTGCAGAACCAGGCACTTCCTCTCCTTGGTGTGTGGCACACACGAGCGCTTGACAGTCAGGCATTCCCGTTGCATTGCAGTCTTCCTGTGTGTCTGTGCTTGCATTGCATGATCCTGTGTGTGCACTCCCTGATTCACCCTTACAGGTATGTGAGCGCAGTGAGCTTGGAGATGTCTGAAGAGAAATACCCCGTTAGACTCTGACGTGCCACCGAGCTGAGGGGGGGTGATGGGAAGAGGCAGAGGGATGGGTGTGGAAGGAGTTGATAGAGGCTGGCTGGTTACCTGTCTGACCCCCTTCTTCCTTTTAATGCGCAACAGAGCTGACGCGCCACCGAGCTGACGCGCAATCGAGCTGTAGGGGGGTGATGGGGGATGTAGAGCGATGGATGTGCGGGGAAGGCGATAGAGGCTGTCTGAAAGGTCAGCTGTCTGTTGTTCCAGTCCCTCCTCTTTTTTCGTCTCCCTCTGTGAAGAGTTCTCGACTCTGTCAGGCAAACACGCGTCTTCGGAATTGCACCTCCGTCAGGTGAAGTCACAAGTAGTTGGAACGATTGGCAATCAATTATGTTCCACAGGGTTTCTGCCCAGTGCCCAACCAGTGCTGCACAGCCCCATGGCCCCATTGCCTCACTACCCCGCTGCCCCGCTGCCCACTCACATAGACTCCACAGAGCTGGCAAGATTGCAGAAGACGCCAGTCCACTCGTTCTGGAGGGGCGCTAAGTTCCCGGTTAGGCGGCAGGGGTTGGTGGAGGCCCATGTGGTGACGGTCGAACCCAAAGCATCCCTCAACGCCATCATAGCCGTGGCTGCCAGAAGGTGAGGTGAGTGAGCCGGGAGGAAAAGAGGGAGAGTGCAAGAGTTGAACAGTTTGAGAATGCAGAAGTAGGAATAGTGTGATATTTGCAAGAGTGCAAAAGCGCAGGATGGGAGGGGCACAAGAATGCTACAAGTGCGAGAGTGCAAGAGCACGAGAGTGGAGGAACGCAGGAGGAAAGTGCAGGTTTGCACGAGCGCAAGAGCGAGAGAGTGCAACGTGTGAAAGTGCATGTGAGAAAGGCACACGAATGCACAATTGCACGGGTGGGACAGTGAGAGAGTGCAAGAGCAGGAGAGTGCACGAGTGCACGAGCGCAAGAGTGCAAGAGTGCAAGAGTGGACGAGTGCTGGAGTACGGGTGTGGTGGAAGCAGATTATCTGAGAGACACGAGGAGCACTCACTCTGCGTAGAATCAATGGGAACGACGTACACTTTACACAGCATCGGCAGGCCCACAAGGTAATAGTTCACACTCCTGGCAGCGATTCTCGCGTCGTCATCCGGCTTGCACAACTGCCCGGTGCTACACAGCGTGCCGGTGCCAGCAGTGCTGCCACAGATGGCACATTGGGCACTTGAACGCTGGCCGTAGCTAACGCACCCGCCAAAGGAGCTAAGGTAGTTTTGATGGCAGTGGCATGTGCCGAAGGGGGTCATTGGAATAGAGCCAACAAAGAAGTTGCTGGTGAGCACGAGCGATTTGAACTGGGTGATGGTGGATGGGAGGGAGCCCGTGAGGTAGTTGTATGAGAGGTCCCTGTGGGGGTTTGTTGGAAAAAGGGTTGGTTGGGGTTTTGAGTGTGGGAAGATCGTGGTAGAGGGATGGAATCGAGGTTCAAAACAACAGGCATACTTACAGATTAGTAAGGCTCGATAAGCCTGCGAAGAAGCTTGGGAACTGTCCAGAGAGATACATAAAGGCCACGTTCCTGTCAGATAACAACGAGAAAAGGCATGCATTAGGATTGAAAGGGCGCATGGCAGCAAGGAAAGAAGGAAGGGAGGGAGGGAGGGCGGGAGGGAGGGAGGGAGGGAGGGAGGGAGGGAGGGAGGGAGGGAGGGAGGGAGGAAGGGAGGGAGGGAGAAAGGGAGGGAGGGAAGGAGAAAGGGATGGAGGGAGGGAGGGAGGGAGGGAGGGAGAGAGGGAGGGAGGGAGGGAGGGAGGGAGGGAGGGAGGGAGGGAGGGAGGGAGGGAGGGAGGAAGAGAGGAAGAGAGGAAGGGAGGGAGGGAGGGAGGGAGGGAGGGAGGGAGGGAGGGAGGGAGGGAGGGAGGGAGGAAGGAAGGAAGGAAGGAAGGAAGGAAGGATGGAAGGAAGGAAGGAAGGAAGGAAGGAAGGAAGGAAGGAAGGAAGGAAGGAAGGAAGGAAGGAAGGAAGAAAGGAAGGAATGAAGGAAGGAAGGAAGGAAGGAAGGAAGGAAGGAAGGAAGGAAGGAAGGAAGGAAGGAAGGAAGGAAGGAAGGAAGGAAGGAAGGAAGGAAGGACGGGCGGACGGGCGGACGGGCTGATGGTTGGACGGATGAATGGACAGATGGAACCTAGGTTGTAGACTTCTAGGGTCAGGAGAAGAGCATTGGAGAGTTGCAACCACGGATGCTCACAAGCTTTGGAGGTTGGTGAGGCCAGTGAGATACTTGAGGTAGTTTCTGATGTTGCCGTCCAGCAAGTTCTTTTGCATTGATCTGCGAGCAAGAACATGATTGTGAACGATTCCGTGGCAGAGACGGGTCTCAGGGCACAACAATGTCCGCGGTTATCATCGAGGGAGCAAAAACATCGTAAAGGGGTGTCTCCTCACAATGAAGTGAGCGCCGAAAGGACGGTCAAGTCGCTGGGGAGGTCCTTGCGGACTATAGTTTGCGCAGACAAATCCCTGGCAGCAACTCATGCAGACAAATCCGATTTGGAGAGATCGGCCACCAGGCATGCACCCGCGCACGCACGCACACATGCACGCACCCACACACGCAGACACGCATGAGCGCACGCGCGCGCGCGTGCGCGCACACACACACACACACACACACACACGCATGGGGGGGAGACAGAAGGGGGAGAGGGGAGCAGGTATGTGAGCAGGTATGTGACATCTCCAAGCTCACTGCGCTCACATACCTGTAAGGGTGAATCAGGGAGTGCACACACAGGATCATGCAATGCAAGCACAGACACACAGGAAGACTGCAATGCAACGGGAATGCCTGACTGTCAAGCGCTCGTGTGTGCCACACACCAAGGAGAGGAAGTGCCTGGTTCTGCAACGCAAGACCAGCCTGATGCTGCTGGCGGGGTCCCATGGCCAGTCATTTGGCCACGGGGTAAGGGAGATGGAAAGGAACATGGAACGGACAGTTTGTTTTTTTCTCTCATCACTTGTCGATGGTGAACGGCCATCCTTCGCCCCCCCGAAGAGGTTGAATATGGGATGAGGCTTGGAGAGCAGGACAGAGACTCGAGCATTGCCTCTGCCCTCTCTCTCTCCCATCTCGCTTCAGCCACTCCTGTCAGTGGCAGGGAAAGAAAGGCCAGAGAAGGAGCTGAAATGAGGGGATGGGTGGGGGATGAGGCTTGGGGAGCAAACCAGAGACTCGAGCATGCCTCTGCTCTCTCTCTCATCTCGGTTCGGTCGCTCCTGTCAGTAACAGGGAAAGAAAGGCCATAGACGGGGCTGAAATGAGGGTATGGGTGGGTGGTTGAGGCTTGGAGCGCAATACAGAGGCTCGAGCATGCATCTGCCCTCTCTCCCCATCTCTGTTCAGTCGCTCCTGTCAGTGACAGGGAAAGAAAGGCCAGAGAAGGGGCTGAAATGAGGGTATGGGTGGGTCGTCGAGGCTTGGAGTGCAAAACAGAGACTCGAGCATGCATCTGCCCCCTCTCCCTTCTCTGTTCCGTCGCTCCTGTCAGTGACAAGGAAATAAAGGCCATAGAAGGGGCTGAAATGAGGGTATGGGTGGGTGGTTGAGGCTTGGAGCACAAAACAGAGACTCGAGCATGCCTCTGCCCCCTCTCCCATCTCTGTTCAGTCGCTCCTGTCAGTATCAGGGAAAGAAAGGCCAGAGAAGGGGCTGAAATGAGGGTATGGGTGGGTGGTCGAGTCTTGGAGCGCAAAACACAGACTCGAGCATGCCTCTGCCCTCTCTCCCATCTCGCTTCAGCCAATCCTGTCAGTGGCAGGGAAAGAAAGGCCATAGACGGAGCTGGAATGAGCATATGGGTGGGGGGGGTGAGGCTTGGAGAGCAGGACAGAGACTCGAGCATTGCCTCTGCCCTCTCTCTCTCCCATCTCGCTTCAGCCACTCCTGTCAGTGGCAGGGAAAGAAAGGCCAGAGAAGGAGCTGAAATGAGGGGATGGGTGGGGGATGAGGCTTGGGGAGCAAACCAGAGACTCGAGCATGCCTCTGCTCTCTCTCTCATCTCGGTTCGGTCGCTCCTGTCAGTAACAGGGAAAGAAAGGCCATAGACGGGGCTGAAATGAGGGTATGGGTGGGTGGTTGAGGCTTGGAGCGCAATACAGAGGCTCGAGCATGCATCTGCCCTCTCTCCCCATCTCTGTTCAGTCGCTCCTGTCAGTGACAGGGAAAGAAAGGCCAGAGAAGGGGCTGAAATGAGGGTATGGGTGGGTGGTCGAGGCTTGGAGTGCAAAACAGAGACTCGAGCATGCCTCTGCCCCCTCTCCCTTCTCTGTTCCGTCGCTCCTGTCAGTGACAAGGAAATAAAGGCCATAGAAGGGGCTGAAATGAGGGTATGGGTGGGTGGTTGAGGCTTGGAGCACAAAACAGAGACTCGAGCATGCCTCTGCCCCCTCTCCCATCTCTGTTCAGTCGCTCCTGTCAGTATCAGGGAAAGAAAGGCCAGAGAAGGGGCTGAAATGAGGGTATGGGTGGGTGGTCGAGTCTTGGAGCGCAAAACACAGACTCGAGCATGCCTCTGCCCTCTCTCCCATCTCGCTTCAGCCAATCCTGTCAGTGGCAGGGAAAGAAAGGCCATAGACGGAGCTGGAATGAGCATATGGGTGGGGGGGGTGAGGCTTGGAGAGCAGGACAGAGACTCGAGCATTGCCTCTGCCCTCTCTCTCTCCCATCTCGCTTCAGCCACTCCTGTCAGTGGCAGGGAAAGAAAGGCCAGAGAAGGAGCTGAAATGAGGGGATGGGTGGGGGATGAGGCTTGGGGAGCAAACCAGAGACTCGAGCATGCCTCTGCTCTCTCTCTCATCTCGGTTCGGTCGCTCCTGTCAGTAACAGGGAAAGAAAGGCCATAGACGGGGCTGAAATGAGGGTATGGGTGGGTGGTTGAGGCTTGGAGCGCAATACAGAGGCTCGAGCATGCATCTGCCCTCTCTCCCCATCTCTGTTCAGTCGCTCCTGTCAGTGACAGGGAAAGAAAGGCCAGAGAAGGGGCTGAAATGAGGGTATGGGTGGGTGGTCGAGGCTTGGAGTGCAAAACAGAGACTCGAGCATGCCTCTGCCCCCTCTCCCTTCTCTGTTCCGTCGCTCCTGTCAGTGACAAGGAAATAAAGGCCATAGAAGGGGCTGAAATGAGGGTATGGGTGGGTGGTTGAGGCTTGGAGCACAAAACAGAGACTCGAGCATGCCTCTGCCCCCTCTCCCATCTCTGTTCAGTCGCTCCTGTCAGTATCAGGGAAAGAAAGGCCAGAGAAGGGGCTGAAATGAGGGTATGGGTGGGTGGTTGAGGCTTGGAGCGCAAAACACAGACTCGAGCATGCCTCTGCCCTCTCTCCCATCTCGCTTCAGCCAATCCTGTCAGTGGCAGGGAAAGAAAGGCCATAGACGGGGCTGGAATGAGCATATGGGTGGGGGGGTGAGGCTTGGAGAGCAGGAAAGAGACTCGAGCATTGCCTCTGCCCTCTCTCTCCCATCTTGGTTCAGCCACTCCTGTTAGTGGCAGGGAAAGAAAGGCCAGAGAAGGGGCTGGAATGAGGGTATGGGTGGGGGGGATGAGGCTTGGAGAGCAGGACAGAGACTCGAGCATTGCCTCTGCCCTCTCTCTCTCCCATCTCGCTTCAGCCACTCCTGTCAGTGGCAGGGAAAGAAAGGCCAGAGAAGGAGCTGAAATGAGGGGATGGGTGGGGGATGAGGCTTGGGGAGCAAACCAGAGACTCGAGCATGCCTCTGCTCTCTCTCTCATCTCGGTTCGGTCGCTCCTGTCAGTAACAGGGAAAGAAAGGCCATAGACGGGGCTGAAATGAGGGTATGGGTGGGTGGTCGAGGCTTGGAGCGCAAAACAGAGACTCGAGCATGCCTCTGCCCCCTCTCCCTTCTCTGTTCCGTCGCTCCTGTCAGTGACAAGGAAATAAAGGCCATAGAAGGGGCTGAAATGAGGGTATGGGTGGGTGGTTGAGGCTTGGAGCACAAAACAGAGACTCGAGCATGCCTCTGCCCCCTCTCCCATCTCTGTTCAGTCGCTCCTGTCAGTATCAGGGAAAGAAAGGCCAGAGAAGGGGCTGAAATGAGGGTATGGGTGGGTGGTCGAGGCTTGGAGCGCAAAACACAGACTCGAGCATGCCTCTGCCCTCTCTCCCATCTCGCTTCAGCCAATCCTGTCAGTGGCAGGGAAAGAAAGGCCATAGACGGGGCTGGAATGAGCATATGGGTGGGGGGGTGAGGCTTGGAGAGCAGGACAGAGACTCGAGCATTGCCTCTGCCCTCTCTCTCCCATCTTGGTTCAGCCACTCCTGTTAGTGGCAGGGAAAGAAAGGCCAGAGAAGGGGCTGGAATGAGGGTATGGGTGGGTGGTCGAGGCTTGGTGTGCAAAACACAGACTCGAGCATGCCTCTGCTCTCTCTCTCATCTCGGTTCGGTCGCTCCTGTCAGTAACAGGGAAAGAAAGGCCATAGAAGGGGCTGAAATGAGGGTATGGGTGGGTGGTTGAGGCTTGGAGCGCAATACAGAGGCTCGAGCATGCATCTGCCCTCTCTCCCATCTCTGTTCAGTCGCTCCTGTCAGTATCAGGGAATGAAAGGCCATAGAAGGGGCTGAAATGAGGGTATGGGTGGGTGGTCGAGGCTTGGAGAGCAGGACAGAGACTCGAGCATTGCCTCTGCCCTGTCTCTCCCATCTTGGTTCAGCCACTCCTGTTAGTGGCTGGGAAAGAAAGGCCAGAGAAGGGGCTGGAATGAGGGTATGGGTGGGGGGGATGAGGCTTGGAGAGCAGGATAGAGACTCGAGCATGCCTCTGCCCCCTCTCCCTTCTCTGTTCCGTCGCTCCTGTCAGTGACAGGGAAATAAAGGCCATAGAAGGGGCTGAAATGAGGGTATGGGTGGGTGGTTGAGGCTTGGAGCGCAAAACAGAGACTCGAGCATGCCTCTGCCCTCTCTCCCATCTCGGTTTAGTGACAGGGCAAGAAAGGCTAGAGAAGGGGCTGAAACGAGGGTGTGGGTGGGGGGGTGAGGCTTGGAGAGCTCAACAAGGAGTCGTGTAAACGAAATAAGACCCTATTCGGCCCCATCCAAAACAAAGATATGGTAATAAGGTAATAAGATATGCATAAGTGGGAGAAGTTGAGGGCTCACTCGTCGGTCAATTCCTGCAAATGCCGAAGCGTGCCCTCCGTGTGACCTGGGAGCTGGGCGCAGTAAAGATACCACTCAAGGTATGCTCGAATGGCGCTCAACTGCGCATCCCCGAGCTTGTCCACGACCACAAAAATCAACACCTGTGAATTTGGGGATTAAAAAAGGGGTATGAAAATTCTGACTTAAGAAGTCGCTATGATGGATTCATGGAGAGAGAGGACAGTAGGGTGTGGGCTGCCTCAGAAAGAGGGGCAGAGAGGGGGGAGGGGAGTGGTGGGTGTGGGACAGAGGGTAAGGGAGTATAGAGTGCTGCTCGTGCCAAGCAATGCCTCATTTACGGTTGTCACTAACCTGCAGAACAGATCGGTGCTCGAATGCGGCCACCTGGGCGTCGGACACGAAGTACGTCGAATTAGGGAGCCGCATATGTGTCATGCGAATGTCTGCTCTCAGTGACTTCAAACGCCTGAGCATGGTAGAAGAAGTAGGGATGACATACACTCCTTCATGAATTGAACGATGCTTTGCACAAGAAACCACGAATTCGCAACACAAGAAAGTGGAGATAGCAATGCCAACCTACATGAGACAGAACACAACCCACCCAAACTTACGCGTCAAACAAGGGAAGCCACTTCCCCTGAGTGCAACGGATGGCGGCGACTATGTGCCCGAGGATCCCGAGATCCGCTTGATGCATGATGTCCGGCATGATGACGAGGTAAGGATTTCCCCACGGTTTGCCAAAAACGTCCCATAGCCACAGGGAACACTGCACGCATAATAGGGTTAGGGTGACTCTTATGAGGTGGAACCAGGATACCAATGAAGCAATGTAGTATTGGAGGCTAATGGCAGTGAGGTTGAGGTGTGCGTAAAAGTGCAGAGATGTGGGGGGGTGCTTGGAAGGGAAGAGATGTGTGGGAGTGCGTGTTAGGGCAGAGATGTGGGGGGGTGCTTGGAAGGGCAGAGATGTGGGGGAGTGCGTGGAAGGGCAGAGATGTGGGGGACCTTGTGTAAGGGCAGAGATGTGGGGGACGGCCATTAAAAGTGCATTCACACTTACGTCGACGTCGAACGTCGAGTACTCCATCCCGATCGTTTTTTTGTCATCGAAGGGTTGATACCAGCTTTCCTTGATCCATTGCTGTTGCACCACAGTGCGGTTAACGTTTGGAGCTGACACGGCGCACAAGTGGTCCTGCATGTAGAATTGGATACCCACACGTATATACATGCAATACAAGTATGAGTTGAATGTGTGCGATCATGGTTAGGCGTTTAGTGCCGAAAAGGACAACTCAACGACAATGTCACATACCCTGTGGGCAAAGCATATGCTGCACGGCCGGTTGGTAGTGCCCGAAAGAGTGCACGTAATTTTGCAACTTTCTGGAAAGTCACACACCCATGCGTACAGCATGGGTATGACGAGATGCTCAACGCCATTCGGGTCCTTCATCTTGAAACCACTGCAATGCGTTGTAAAAAAGAGAGGATGGGTTTTGGGGGACGAGGCTTGGTAGAACGATTTATATAGAGGGGTGGTTATACTTCTACATAGACGGAAACGCGTCCCTATAAAGCCATTGAAATGGCACTGATAAAATGGCACATGCGCAGATTGCGGTGGAAGCGAGCATGAGATTTGGACATCAAAGCAAAGTTAATATAGGGCAAGTGTGATCAAAACCTTTTCAATCCCTCGAGGATGGGCTGCAGCATGAGCTCCATGGCTTTGTGAAATAATTCGGTGCTCTGAGCCGAGCTCATGCCGGCCGGTGGTATCGGGAGATTCCCCAAAAGCACGTGGCCAGAAGATGCCCAACGTTTCCCCTGGGAGATGTTGACGAGACTCATCATCACCGGATGTGCCTTTTTCCTGCCGTTGTTGCTGAGGTGTGTGACGTCACTGTACAGGATAATCCCAGCAATGACTACGTTGGGCCCAACATGGGCCTGAGGTTTAAAGTAAACAATACCACAGACATGGACATAGCATAACATAATACGGATGGAGGGGGGTATGTGAACAAGATTAGAGCATACGGGAGCATGAGTGTGCATCTCACTCCCCTCCGCTCCTCTGTCCGCCCTCCTCTGTCCCTCTCCTGTGTGTGGGTGGGAGGGACAGGCACAGGGAGGCAAGGATAAGGGGCAGAGAGAGAGAATGAAGCAACAAGGTGCAGGCTTGAGCTCCTCACTCCCCTCCGCTCCTCTGTCCGCCCTCCTCTGTCCCTCTCCTGTCTGTGGGTGGGTGGGACAGGCACAGGGAGGCAAGGATAAGGGGCAGAGAGAGAGAATGAAGCAACAAGGTGCAGGCTTGAGCTCCTCACTCCCCTCCGCTCCTCTGTCCGCCCTCCTTTGTCCCTCTCCTGTCTGTGGGTGGGTGGGACAGGCACAGGGAGGCAAGGATAAGGGGCAGAGAGAGAGAATGAAGCAACAAGGTGCAGGCTTGAGCTCCTCACTCCCCTCCGCTCCTCTGTCCGCCCTCCTCTGTCCCTCTCCTGTCTGTGGGTGGGTGGGACAGGCACAGGGAGGCAAGGATAAGGGGCAGAGAGAGAGAATGAAGCAACAAGGTGCAGGCTTGAGCTCCTCACTCCCCTCCGCTCCTCTGTCCGCCCTCCTCTGTCCCTCTCCTGTCTGTGGGTGGGTGGGACAGGCACAGGGAGGCAAGGATAAGGGGCAGAGAGAGAGAATGAAGCAACAAGGTGCAGGCTTGAGCTCCTCACTCCCCTCCGCTCCTCTGTCCGCCCTCCTCTGTCCCTCTCCTGTCTGTGGGTGGGTGGGACAGGCACAGGGAGGCAAGGATAAGGGGCAGAGAGAGAGAATGAAGCAACAAGGTGCAGGCTTGAGCTCCTCACTCCCCTCCGCTCCTCTGTCCGCCCTCCTCTGTCCCTCTCCTGTCTGTGGGTGGGTGGGACAGGCACAGGGAGGCAAGGATAAGGGGCAGAGAGAGAGAATGAAGCAACAAGGTGCAGGCTTGAGCTCCTCACTCCCCTCCGCTCCTCTGTCCGCCCTCCTCTGTCCCTCTCCTGTCTGTGGGTGGGTGGGACAGGCACAGGGAGGCAAGGATAAGGGGCAGAGAGAGAGAATGAAGCAACAAGGTGCAGGCTTGAGCTCCTCACTCCCCTCCGCTCCTCTGTCCGCCCTCCTCTGTCCCTCTCCTGTCTGTGGGTGGGAGGGACAGGCACAGGGAGGCAAGGATAAGGGGCAGAGAGAGAGAATGAAGCAACAAGGTGCAGGCTTGAGCTCCTCACTCCCCTCCGCTCCTCTGTCCGCCCTCCTCTGTCCCTCTCCTGTGTGTGGGTGGGAGGGACAGGCACAGGGAGGCAAGGATAAGGGGCAGAGAGAGAGAATGAAGCAACAAGGTGCAGGCTTGAGCTCCTCACTCCCCTCCGCTCCTCTGTCCGCCCTCCTTTGTCCCTCTCCTGTGTGTGGGTGGGAGGGACAGGCACAGGGAGGCAAGGATAAGGGGCAGAGAGAGAGAATGAAGCAACAAGGTGCAGGCTTGAGCTCCTCACTCCCCTCCGCTCCTCTGTCCGCCCTCCTCTGTCCCTCTCCTGTGTGTGGGTGGGAGGGACAGGCACAGGGAGGCAAGGATAAGGGGCAGAGAGAGAGAATGAAGCAACAAGGTGCAGGCTTGAGCTCCTCACTCCCCTCCGCTCCTCTGTCCGCCCTCCTCTGTCCCTCTCCTGTCTGTGGGTGGGTGGGACAGGCACAGGGAGGCAAGGATAAGGGGCAGAGAGAGAGAATGAAGCAACAAGGTGCAGGCTTGAGCTCCTCACTCCCCTCCGCTCCTCTGTCCGCCCTCCTCTGTCCCTCTCCTGTGTGTGGGTGGGAGGGACAGGCACAGGGAGGCAAGGATAAGGGGCAGAGAGAGAGAATGAAGCAACAAGGTGCAGGCTTGAGCTCCTCACTCCCCTCCGCTCCTCTGTCCGCCCTCCTCTGTCCCTCTCCTGTCTGTGGGTGGGTGGGACAGGCACAGGGAGGCAAGGATAAGGGGCAGAGAGAGAGAATGAAGCAACAAGGTGCAGGCTTGAGCTCCTCACTCCCCTCCGCTCCTCTGTCCGCCCTCCTCTGTCCCTCTCCTGTCTGTGGGTGGGTGGGACAGGCACAGGGAGGCAAGGATAAGGGGCAGAGAGAGAGAATGAAGCAACAAGGTGCAGGCTTGAGCTCCTCACTCCCCTCCGCTCCTCTGTCCGCCCTCCTCTGTCCCTCTCCTGTCTGTGGGTGGGTGGGACAGGCACAGGGAGGCAAGGATAAGGGGCAGAGAGAGAGAATGAAGCAACAAGGTGCAGGCTTGAGCTCCTCACTCCCCTCCGCTCCTCTGTCCGCCCTCCTCTGTCCCTCTCCTGTCTGTGGGTGGGAGGGACAGGCACAGGGAGGCAAGGATAAGGGGCAGAGAGAGAGAATGAAGCAACAAGGTGCAGGCTTGAGCTCCTCACTCCCCTCCGCTCCTCTGTCCGCCCTCCTCTGTCCCTCTCCTGTGTGTGGGTGGGAGGGACAGGCACAGGGAGGCAAGGATAAGGGGCAGAGAGAGAGAATGAAGCAACAAGGTGCAGGCTTGAGCTCCTCACTCCCCTCCGCTCCTCTGTCCGCCCTCCTTTGTCCCTCTCCTGTGTGTGGGTGGGAGGGACAGGCACAGGGAGGCAAGGATAAGGGGCAGAGAGAGAGAATGAAGCAACAAGGTGCAGGCTTGAGCTCCTCACTCCCCTCCGCTCCTCTGTCCGCCCTCCTCTGTCCCTCTCCTGTGTGTGGGTGGGAGGGACAGGCACAGGGAGGCAAGGATAAGGGGCAGAGAGAGAGAATGAAGCAACAAGGTGCAGGCTTGAGCTCCTCACTCCCCTCCGCTCCTCTGTCCGCCCTCCTCTGTCCCTCTCCTGTCTGTGGGTGGGTGGGACAGGCACAGGGAGGCAAGGATAAGGGGCAGAGAGAGAGAATGAAGCAACAAGGTGCAGGCTTGAGCTCCTCACTCCCCTCCGCTCCTCTGTCCGCCCTCCTCTGTCCCTCTCCTGTCTGTGGGTGGGTGGGACAGGCACAGGGAGGCAAGGATAAGGGGCAGAGAGAGAGAATGAAGCAACAAGGTGCAGGCTTGAGCTCCTCACTCCCCTCCGCTCCTCTGTCCGCCCTCCTCTGTCCCTCTCCTGTCTGTGGGTGGGAGGGACAGGCACAGGGAGGCAAGGATAAGGGGCAGAGAGAGAGAATGAAGCAACAAGGTGCAGGCTTGAGCTCCTCACTCCCCTCCGCTCCTCTGTCCGCCCTCCTCTGTCCCTCTCCTGTGTGTGGGTGGGAGGGACAGGCACAGGGAGGCAAGGATAAGGGGCAGAGAGAGAGAATGAAGCAACAAGGTGCAGGCTTGAGCTCCTCACTCCCCTCCGCTCCTCTGTCCGCCCTCCTTTGTCCCTCTCCTGTGTGTGGGTGGGAGGGACAGGCACAGGGAGGCAAGGATAAGGGGCAGAGAGAGAGAATGAAGCAACAAGGTGCAGGCTTGAGCTCCTCACTCCCCTCCGCTCCTCTGTCCGCCCTCCTCTGTCCCTCTCCTGTGTGTGGGTGGGAGGGACAGGCACAGGGAGGCAAGGATAAGGGGCAGAGAGAGAGAATGAAGCAACAAGGTGCAGGCTTGAGCTCCTCACTCCCCTCCGCTCCTCTGTCCGCCCTCCTCTGTCCCTCTCCTGTCTGTGGGTGGGTGGGACAGGCACAGGGAGGCAAGGATAAGGGGCAGAGAGAGAGAATGAAGCAACAAGGTGCAGGCTTGAGCTCCTCACTCCCCTCCGCTCCTCTGTCCGCCCTCCTCTGTCCCTCTCCTGTGTGTGGGTGGGAGGGACAGGCACAGGGAGGCAAGGATAAGGGGCAGAGAGAGAGAATGAAGCAACAAGGTGCAGGCTTGAGCTCCTCACTCCCCTCCGCTCCTCTGTCCGCCCTCCTCTGTCCCTCTCCTGTCTGTGGGTGGGTGGGACAGGCACAGGGAGGCAAGGATAAGGGGCAGAGAGAGAGAATGAAGCAACAAGGTGCAGGCTTGAGCTCCTCACTCCCCTCCGCTCCTCTGTCCGCCCTCCTCTGTCCCTCTCCTGTGTGTGGGTGGGAGGGACAGGCACAGGGAGGCAAGGATAAGGGGCAGAGAGAGAGAATGAAGCAACAAGGTGCAGGCTTGAGCTCCTCACTCCCCTCCGCTCCTCTGTCCGCCCTCCTTTGTCCCTCTCCTGTGTGTGGGTGGGAGGGACAGGCACAGGGAGGCAAGGATAAGGGGCAGAGAGAGAGAATGAAGCAACAAGGTGCAGGCTTGAGCTCCTCACTCCCCTCCGCTCCTCTGTCCGCCCTCCTCTGTCCCTCTCCTGTCTGTGGGTGGGTGGGACAGGCACAGGGAGGCAAGGATAAGGGGCAGAGAGAGAGAATGAAGCAACAAGGTGCAGGCTTGAGCTCCTCACTCCCCTCCGCTCCTCTGTCCGCCCTCCTTTGTCCCTCTCCTGTGTGTGGGTGGGAGGGACAGGCACAGGGAGGCAAGGATAAGGGGCAGAGAGAGAGAATGAAGCAACAAGGTGCAGGCTTGAGCTCCTCACTCCCCTCCGCTCCTCTGTCCGCCCTCCTCTGTCCCTCTCCTGTGTGTGGGTGGGAGGGACAGGCACAGGGAGGCAAGGATAAGGGGCAGAGAGAGAGAATGAAGCAACAAGGTGCAGGCTTGAGCTCCTCACTCCCCTCCGCTCCTCTGTCCGCCCTCCTTTGTCCCTCTCCTGTGTGTGGGTGGGAGGGACAGGCACAGGGAGGCAAGGATAAGGGGCAGAGAGAGAGAATGAAGCAACAAGGTGCAGGCTTGAGCTCCTCACTCCCCTCCGCTCCTCTGTCCGCCCTCCTCTGTCCCTCTCCTGTCTGTGGGTGGGTGGGACAGGCACAGGGAGGCAAGGATAAGGGGCAGAGAGAGAGAATGAAGCAACAAGGTGCAGGCTTGAGCTCCTCACTCCCCTCCGCTCCTCTGTCCGCCCTCCTTTGTCCCTCTCCTGTGTGTGGGTGGGAGGGACAGGCACAGGGAGGCAAGGATAAGGGGCAGAGAGAGAGAATGAAGCAACAAGGTGCAGGCTTGAGCTCCTCACTCCCCTCCGCTCCTCTGTCCGCCCTCCTCTGTCCCTCTCCTGTCTGTGGGTGGGTGGGACAGGCACAGGGAGGCAAGGATAAGGGGCAGAGAGAGAGAATGAAGCAACAAGGTGCAGGCTTGAGCTCCTCACTCCCCTCCGCTCCTCTGTCCGCCCTCCTTTGTCCCTCTCCTGTGTGTGGGTGGGAGGGACAGGCACAGGGAGGCAAGGATAAGGGGCAGAGAGAGAGAATGAAGCAACAAGGTGCAGGCTTGAGCTCCTCACTCCCCTCCGCTCCTCTGTCCGCCCTCCTCTGTCCCTCTCCTGTCTGTGGGTGGGTGGGACAGGCACAGGGAGGCAAGGATAAGGGGCAGAGAGAGAGAATGAAGCAACAAGGTGCAGGCTTGAGCTCCTCACTCCCCTCCGCTCCTCTGTCCGCCCTCCTTTGTCCCTCTCCTGTGTGTGGGTGGGAGGGACAGGCACAGGGAGGCAAGGATAAGGGGCAGAGAGAGAGAATGAAGCAACAAGGTGCAGGCTTGAGCTCCTCACTCCCCTCCGCTCCACTGTCCGCCCTCCTCTGTCCCTCTCCTGTCTGTGGGTGGGTGGGACAGGCACAGGGAGGCAAGGATAAGGGGCAGAGAGAGAGAATGAAGCAACAAGGTGCAGGCTTGAGCTCCTCACTCCCCTCCGCTCCTCTGTCCGCCCTCCTTTGTCCCTCTCCTGTGTGTGGGTGGGAGGGACAGGCACAGGGAGGCAAGGATAAGGGGCAGAGAGAGAGAATGAAGCAACAAGGTGCAGGCTTGAGCTCCTCACTCCCCTCCGCTCCTCTGTCCCTCTCCTGTCTGTGGGTGGGTGGGACAGGCACAGGGAGGCAAGGATAAGGGGCAGAGAGAGAGAATGAAGCAACAAGGTGCAGGCTTGAGCTCCTCACTCCCCTCCGCTCCTCTGTCCGCCCTCCTCTGTCCCTCTCCTGTGGGTGGGTGGGACGGACAGGCACAGGGAGGCAAGGATAAGGGGCAGAGTGAGAAGCATTTGAGAGTCAGTGTACTGTTGGAATGTGTTTTCTTGCAGCGAAGATATCATTTGAAGACATCGCAAAAAAGAAGCATTTGTACTACTCGTTCTCCCTCTCACCTGTGCCTCATGCCACCAGGTCGCTGTCTCCGGCGTGGTGTAGCGTCTCTGACGGGTCTTCGGGTCAGTGTCAACCCGTGGCTTCAAAACGAACCCAGGCGCATTCCGCGGATCGCCAAACAGGTCGGCCAGAGCCTGGAAGAGATTATGAAGACGCGATTATGACGAGCATATAAACCAATACGTGCAGCGAAGTAAAGGTCGTATCAAGTTATTAACTGGCACAGCACGAACCTGTAATGAATTACGGAAGAACAGCGTCTGCGCCGGGAAGCCCGCAACTTTGAATGTTACAGTCGAGTACCCACGGCCTAGACCACGCAGTTGGTTCAACTCGAAGCGCTCGAGCTCTCTGCAGTTGGTGTACTCCTCGAGCACTCTTTGTGCAAGTTCCGGAACCATTAGAAGTTGCAGCAGTGTGTTGATGTTCGTCTCTGCCAAACCAAGCCGTCCGTTGGCTTTCCGCACAAAGTGCAGAAAATGAAGCGCAGCGGGATTGCTCGGTGGTGGACGCCCGAAGCTTGTGGGTACGGAGGGAGCGGCGGTATTCCTGCCGCTGCTGGTACTCTGAGGCGAATTCGCTGTGTCCGCGTAGGTGACGGCCTCGGGTATTTCATTTCCGGGTGTACAACATGAGGAAATGCTGCCGGCGGAATGCTCACCGTCTTCCTGTGCCCGAACGTTGTCGCCATGGACGTGATGGGCCGGAACATGGGCCGTATTGTCGGCATCGGGAACAGGTGTGGTGAAAAGAGCAAAGTGCTCAGGCACTGAAGGTCCACCCCGACGCAGTGCTGCATATTTGACACGGCATTCAGGGTCCCATGCCTTGTGCCGCCCAAAGCACTGGGCACTTCGGAATCTACCCCCGCAAAAGATGCACAGTAACTGTTTTTTGACGTTCATGTTATGACCAGCTGTAATATGAAGAGACCCGAGAGTGGCCGCATTGTACAAGGGCTCTTTAGTAGCGGCTACGCCAGGCTGCTACCTACACTCGCAACGCGTGCTGCACGAGGCGGTTTAACGTGGTGGGACTGCCAGGCACACTATGAGCCGCGTGCGGCTGCTGGGACGGATGGGCTCATGGAAGGACAGCGGGAGGGAGACGATGTTCCAAGCCACCCTGAGAGCTAGGATAATAGGCTATGGATTGGCAATCCTTGCGCTTGTCTATCCCCGAAGAGGTCACGGTGAGAATGGCTCCGTAGTCTAGAGAAAACCGAGCAATAGTTAGAGCGAAGAAGCTAAGTCGCCAAATGAGAAGGCAAGGCTCAAGCCTCACCCTAAAGCAAGAGACTTGTGCGTGACTAGCACGTCAGGGCATCGTAAGCCGCACTTCGCTGTGATTGTAAGGCGAAGCTGGGCGGGTAGGATCACCGCACGGAGGAAGCGTGGCATAGCAAGCGACTCGGTGTGTGGTGTCGTGCGGCTATTTTGAATTCTGAAAACGAACTTTGAAATGACGGGGGAGAATGCGTGCACTGCCTACACGGGCAACTGGCGGTTCGCGATTGTGGCGTATTTGTTAAAAATTGCAGACATGGCAAAAACTTTACACTTTAATTTACCAAAAAAAAAAAACCGTGGACCCTAGGAATCAGAGCATAACCTATATGAAACAGGTGTCAACCGGCTCCCCTATCACTTGCCCATGCTTTCTGACAAGGTTTGGTTTGTGGCGCGCACTGAAATCCAATACCCGGCAAAGCCGCATCAGATTCTCGCTTCCCTTACATATCATGGCATGATAAACATATCTAGCCTTTATGGACAGAGCTGAGAGTGATAGGGGGTTCTCAACTTAGTGTCGAGAGACTACCCTATCACTCTCAGCTCATTCTGACAAGGTTTGGTTTGTGGCGCAGACTAAAATCCAATACCCGGCAAAGCTGGAGCCGATTCTGGCTTCCCTTACATATCATGGCATGATAAACCTATCTAGCCTTCATGGACTGAGTTGAGAGTGAAAGGGGGTTATCAAATTAGTGTCAATAGACTACCCTATCACTTGCAGAGCCTTCTGACAAGGTTTCGTTTGTGGTCCAGACTAAAATCCAATACCCGGCGTAGCTGCATCAGATTCTCGCTTCCCTTACATATCATGGCATGATAAACCTATCTAGCCTTCATGGAATGATATGAGAGTGATAGGGGGGTCTTAAACTAGTGTAAAGAGACTACCCTATCACTCTCAGCTCATTCTGACAAGGTCTGGTTTGTGGCGCATACTAAAATACAATACCCGGCACTGCATCAGATTCTCGCTTCCCCTACAAATCATGGCGTGCTGAACCTATCTAGCCTTCATGGACTGAGCTGAGAGTGATAGGGGGGTCTCAAATTGGTGTATAGAGACTACCCTATCACTTGCACATATCCATGACCTTTGACCTTCGCGTAACCTCCGACAGTTGACTCGGGTGCTTCTTCGCTGTAGTCAGTTCCGTTTTGTGTCGCAGCTTCGATACGACAGAGGCGCTATAAATTACTTGTTTCCAACACTCCCCTTCGCTTCTGGAGGATCGTTGCTGATGACGTGTCCTTGTCCAGTCAGCAGCATGCAGTACTCGAACTTCTGTTTTCCGAGTTTCTTGGTCAAGTAGTTTGCTGCCATCTCGGATGTGGGACAGTAGGATAGTTCGAGTCTTCCCTTTTCGATCTCGTCTTGGGTAACTGGGCCAATTTTGCTTCCTCCAGTAGTTCGCGAAAATATAGCCCTTCCTTGGTTGCTGAGCAGAGTGCGATATATTCTGCTTCTGCTAACGAGAGAGCAATTAGCTCTTGCTTGTTCGACTGCCAAGAGTTAGGCCCGATATGTTCGAGTCTGTAGACGTAGCCGGTTCGAGACCTTCGTTGTCTGAATCTCCAGCGTGATCGGCGTCGACGTAGCCGATTAGTTTAGGAGCCGCAGTGTTGGTTTTGTGGTAGGTGAGTCCGATTGTCGGAGTACTGACGAGGTAGTGAAGCACTCGGTCGAGTTCGAGCATGTGATCTGCTTCAGGCTTCTTGAGGTAGGTAGCGAGTTGGCTAGCTGAGTAGGATAGATCCGGTCGGCAGGTGACGGCTGCGAAGAGCAGGCAGCCTAGCTTCCTTTGGTAGTCGCGGACGCCAGCAGGTTTGAGTAGGGCGGAGGTCTTCCGATTTCCGTCGGTGTAGCGGTATGGTGTAGAGATGGTGGTTGGGGTGAGTTCGAAGCGTTTAGCAATAGTGTCCGAGTATTTTGCAGCGCTGAGGTAGATGGCATTGTCGCCGTCTTCGATGTTCAGTCCTAGGTACTGTGTCACGGTGGTAGCTGGAGAAATCCGATGCGAATGAGGCGGGCGTGAAGGTGCTGCTGCCATAATCTCGGGGCTTGCTTAATCCCGTTACTACGACCCTGATTTTCAATTCTCGACCCTGAACATTCAGAGTTCACTACTTCTCAACCCTGAGCAATCAGGGTGCTGTTTTTCTGGAAAATGTGCCTTCAGGGTAATTTTTTTTTTTTTTTTTTAGGTTGAAATCAGGGTACCTAAATTTGAAAAGTCAGCCCTGCAGGCGACGAAGGCTTCGAAGGCCATGTCGAGACTTGGAAGATTAAGGTGCCAGACGTAACGAGTAGCGGCGTCGACGAAGGTCATTCAGTTGTTGGCAGTATCACATGTGAATAACGTTGTAAGTGGGGGCGAGCTACACTACAACATCCAAACCCAGTGCACAGGTTTTTCTTACTGTAATTCAAGGGCACGATGTGCTTACGAATTCACTGTAGTTCATATTTAGGGCATTATACGGATGTCATACTGTACTCAAGCATGCCTATGAGATTTACTGCGTGCTAGAAGGGCATTTTGTTGAGAAAACTTGAGCTCGCAGATATGCGACAAACGTGCTACCCCAGCAAACCCTCCCGCCACGTTCTGCATGGCAGGAGATATGTTTTTTGAGCACGAACAGTAATTCCGTATGCTGACTCACATCAACTGCTTCGTTTCCTGTGAGGGTGTGGCAGTACAGCGGTGTGGCTGTTCTTGTTGCTTGGTTTGTGGTAATTTGGACCATAGGGTATGTTTCGTTTGCAAACCTTTAAAATGCGATATCTCACAACTCAGTGCATGTTGTTACTATTCTCAACGATTCCCATCGGACGTGAGACACTCCCGCACTCCGCGCACAAGTAGTTGTCTATTAAGTTATATGCTTATGAGTCCAGAGCCTAATGAGAGTAAGCGGGGGGTGGTACAGAAATTATTTTGTGTGTGCAGCCCGAACCTGTCCTGATCGCCTTCCTACATCGTCGGTCCCCTTTCGACTTGGCGACGGTGCATGTAACGTGCAGCACAACCTTTTGCACCTCACCTCACTTCACCAAACACCACCTCATCGCACCATTATTAACCCCGACTAAACCCATCCCAAGACACCCATTTTTCGTGGCCTCCTGCACGAAGTACTATACAATATTCCTGCCAAGTCCCACACCCCTTCCCCTCTACCCCACCCGCCCGCTCGTCCCCGCACTCTCGCCTGCTCATCCCCGCTCCCACGCCTCCTCGTCCCCGCCACCTCGCCTGCTCATCCCCGCTCCCAGGCCTCCTCGTCCCCGCCACCTCGCCTGCTCATCTCCGCTCCCTCAACTCCTCTATCCCGCCACTCGCCTGCTCATCTCCGCTCCCTCACCTCCTCTCTCCCCGTTACCTCGCCTGCTCATACCGGCTCCCTCAACTGCTCATCCCCACTCCCTCGCCTGCTAGAGTCCACTACGCTGCCTGCTCGTCCCCGCTCCGACGCCTACACTTCTAACACCAGCTTCTCTCACGCTTGGTGAGCGAGGTCCTCACCTACGCATTTGCAAACCAGCCTGCTTCGTAGTGGTCTGATCCGTTGAATGTTTTGGCAAACATATTTCGGTTTCAACAAGCGTGCGCAGTAAACCGTTAAGTCATGCTTGACCAATAAGCGAAATACTATGCAAAACCCGGATCGTTAAACGAGAATCCCTGTATAATCGTCAAAAGGAGTCTCACACGGGGACAATGCACGGGTTTGCGGTGGAGCACGGGGAGGGAGGTGAGGACGGGGAAGAACAAGGCTACACTGGAGAACCGACACGGGAAGGGGGAGGATACGAGCAAGGGGAAGGAGGAGGATACGCGACAGTGCAAGGCGGAGGATACGCGACAGGGGGATGGGGAGGATACCAGCAAGGGGAAGGGGGAGGATACGCGACAGGGGAAAGGGGAGGGTACGCGACAGTGCAAGGGGAAGGATACGAGCAAGGGGAAGGGGGTGGATACGCTACAGGGGAAGGGGGAGGATACGCGACATGAGGATATGGGACAAGGGCAGTGGAAGGTTACGAGCAAGGGGAAGGGGGAGGATACGCGACAGGGGCAGGCGGAGGATACGAGACAGGGGAAGGGGGTGGAGACGAGGGCGAGGAAGGGGGAGAGGACGGGGGAGAGGAAGGGGGAGAAGACGAGGGAGAGGAAGGGGGAGAGGACGGGGGAGAGGAAGGGGGAGAAGACGAGGGAGAGGAAGGGGGGGAAGACGAGGGAGAGGAATGGGGAGAAGACGGGACAGGGGAACAAGGTGCATACGCGCCAGGGGAAGGGGGAGTACATGCGACAGTGCAAGGGGGAGGATACGAGGGAGAGGAAGGGGGAGGATACGCGGCAGGGGAAGGGGGAGGATACGCGGCAGGGGAAGGGGGAGGATACCCGGCAGGGGAAGGGGGAGGATACGTCGCAGGGGGAGGATACGAGGGAGAGGTAGGGGGGGAACATGGGACAGGGGAAGGGGGAGGATATGTCGCAAGGGCAGGGCAAGTCTATGAGGAACAGGAAGGGGGGGAGTTTGCGGCGCATGGTGAGGGAGGATACGAGGCAGAGGGGGGGGGAGTGTCATGGCCGAAGGCGGGGCAGACGGTCACGCGAGAGATCCGGCCGGAGGCGATGGTGCGCTGAACGCAGCGGTGCGACAGGAAGCACATGAAGGCGGGGAGGACGACGCTGAGGACGATGATGATGAACGTATTCTGTACCCTGTCAGGCCGGTTGCGGAAGCAAGCCGTGGCTCCACGATGGATGAATCTGCGGAGGAGGCCGCCGCGATCATGCGGGGCAAGGCCAAGTGCATGGCTACCCTAAACATGGATGAGGGCGAACGGAATAACGTGCCGTGCAATGTCAAGAAGGCTGCAAGGAAACGTGGGCGCGATGAAACGGTTAATGAGCAATTGGCGCCTGGAGACGGGCGCGGCAAAGCACGGGGCAGAGGGAGGGGAGAAGGGCGAGGTGGGCGAGCAGGGCGGGGCGGAGGGAGAGGAGGGGGAGGCAGAGGACAGGATGATGGAGAGGGGGAAGGGCGTGGAGGGCGAGGCGGCGGCCGAGCAGGGCGGGGCGGAGGGAGAGGAGGGCGAGGCAGAGGACAGGTTGAACAAGAGGGAGAAGGGAGTGGAGGGCGGGGCGGAGGGCGTGGCGTCGGGCGTGGAGGGCGCGGCGGAAATCGTGGAGCGGGTCAACTTGGCCGCGGGGCTGGAGGTAGAGGAAGGGGCGAAGGAATGGGACGAGGAAGAGGAAGGGGTGCCACAGGTAGGAGTGACGTCAGTTGCGGGGGTGTGCATGGGCCTCTCTGCTCCTATTGGGCTATTTTCAGCCCCGCTGTTCTCACCCAGCCCTCCCTCTGCCATCTCTCCGCCCTTGCCTCCCTGCCATTGACAGGAGATCCACGGGGAGGAGGGAGGGAGAGGCGGGGGTGTGCATGGGCCTCTCTGCTCCTATTGGGCTATTTTCAGCCCCGCTGTTCTCACCCAGCCCTCCCTCTGCCATCTCTCCGCCCTTGCCTCCCTGCCATTGACAGGAGATGCACGGAGGAGGAGGGAGGGAGAGGCGGGGGTGTGCATGGGCCTCTCTGCTCCTATTGGGCTATTTTCAGCCCCGCTGTTCTCACCCAGCCCTCCCTCTGCCATCTCTCCGCCCTTGCCTCCCTGCCATTGACAGGAGATGCACGGAGGAGGAGGGAGGGAGAGGCGGGGGTGTGCATGGGCCTCTCTGCTCCTATTGGGATATTTTCAGCCCCGCAGTTCTCACCCAGCCCTACCTCTGCCATCTCTCCGCCCTTGCCTCCCTGCCATTGACAGGAGATGCACGGAGGAGGAGGGAGGGAGAGGCGGGGGTGTGCATGGGCCTCTCTGCTCCTATTGGGCTATTTTCAGCCCCGCAGTTCTCACCCAGCCCTACCTCTGCCATCTCTCCGCCCTTGCCTCCCTGCCATTGACAGGAGATGCACGGGGAGGAGGGAGGGAGAGGCGGGGGTGTGCATGGGCCTCTCTGCTCCTATTGGGCTATTTTCAGCCCCGCTGTTCTCACCCAGCCCTCCCTCTGCCATCTCTCCGCCCTTGCCTCCCTGCCATTGACAGGAGATGCACGGAGGAGGAGGGAGGGAGAGGCGGGGGTGTGCATGGGCCTCTCTGCTCCTATTGGGCTATTTTCAGCCCCGCTGTTCTCACCCAGCCCTACCTCTGCCATCTCTCCGCCCTTGCCTCCCTGCCATTGACAGGAGATGCACGGGGAGGAGGGAGGGAGAGGCGGGGGTGTGCATGGGCCTCTCTGCTCCTATTGGGATATTTTCAGCCCCGCTGTTCTCACCCAGCCCTACCTCTGCCATCTCTCCGCCCTTGCCTCCCTGCCATTGACAGGAGATGCACGGGGAGGAGGGAGGGAGAGGCGGGGGTGTGCATGGGCCTCTCTGCTCCTATTGGGCTATTTTCAGCCCCGCTGTTCTCACCCAGCCCTACCTCTGCCATCTCTCCGCCCTTGCCTCCCTGCCATTGACAGGAGATGCACGGGGAGGAGGGAGGGAGAGGCGGGGGTGTGCATGGGCCTCTCTGCTCCTATTGGGCTATTTTCAGCCCCGCAGTTCTCACCCAGCCCTACCTCTGCCATCTCTCCGCCCTTGCCTCCCTGCCATTGACAGGAGATGCACGGAGGAGGAGGGAGGGAGAGGCGGGGGTGTGCATGGGCCTCTCTGCTCCTATTGGGCTATTTTCAGCCCCGCTGTTCTCACCAAGCCCTCCCTCTGCCATCTCTCCGCCCTTGCCTCCCTGCCATTGACAGGAGATGCACGGAGGAGGAGGGAGGGAGAGGCGGGGGTGTGCATGGGCCTCTCTGCTCCTATTGGGCTATTTTCAGCCCCGCTGTTCTCACCCAGCCCTACCTCTGCCATCTCTCCGCCCTTGCCTCCCTGCCATTGACAGGAGATGCACGGGGAGGAGGGAGGGAGAGGCGGGGGTGTGCATGGGCCTCTCTGCTCCTATTGGGATATTTTCAGCCCCGCTGTTCTCACCCAGCCCTACCTCTGCCATCTCTCCGCCCTTGCCTCCCTGCCATTGACAGGAGATGCACGGGGAGGAGGGAGGGAGAGGCGGGGGTGTGCATGGGCCTCTCTGCTCCTATTGGGCTATTTTCAGCCCCGCTGTTCTCACCCAGCCCTCCCTCTGCCATCTCTCCGCCCTTGCCTCCCTGCCATTGACAGGAGATGCACGGAGGAGGAGGGAGGGAGAGGCGGGGGTGTGCATGGGCCTCTCTGCTCCTATTGGGCTATTTTCAGCCCCGCTGTTCTCACCCAGCCCTCCCTCTGCCATCTCTCCGCCCTTGCCTCCCTGCCATTGACAGGAGATGCACGGGGAGGAGGGAGGGAGAGGCGGGGGTGTGCATGGGCCTCTCTGCTCCTATTGGGCTATTTTCAGCCCCGCTGTTCTCACCCAGCCCTCCCTCTGCCATCTCTCCGCCCTTGCCTCCCTGCCATTGACAGGAGATGCACGGAGGAGGATGGAGGGAGAGGCGGGGGTGTGCATGGGCCTCTCTGCTCCTATTGGGCTATTTTCAGCCCCGCTGTTCTCACCCAGCCCTCCCTCTGCCATCTCTCCGCCCTTGCCTCCCTGCCATTGACAGGAGATGCACGGAGGAGGAGGGTGGGAGAGGCGGGGGTGTGCATGGGCCTCTCTGCTCCTATTGGGCTATTTTCAGCCCCGCAGTTCTCACCCAGCCCTCCCTCTGCCATCTCTCCGCCCTTGCCTCCCTGCCATTGACAGGAGATGCACGGAGGAGGAGGGAGGGAGAGGCGGGGGTGTGCATGGGCCTCTCTGCTCCTATTGGGCTATTTTCAGCCCCGCTGTTCTCACCCAGCCCTCCCTCTGCCATCTCTCCGCCCTTGCCTCCCTGCCATTGACAGGAGATGCACGGAGGAGGAGGGAGGGAGAGGCGGGGGTGTGCATGGGCCTCTCTGCTCCTATTGGGCTATTTTCAGCCCCGCAGTTCTCACCCAGCCCTCCCTCTGCCATCTCTCCGCCCTTGCCTCCCTGCCATTGACAGGAGATGCACGGAGGAGGAGGGAGGGAGAGGCGGGGGTGTGCATGGGCCTCTCTGCTCCTATTGGGCTATTTTCAGCCCCGCTGTTCTCACCCAGCCCTCCCTCTGCCATCTCTCCGCCCTTGCCTCCCTGCCATTGACAGGAGATGCACGGAGGAGGAGGGAGGGAGAGGCGGGGGTGTGCATGGGCCTCTCTGCTCCTATTGGGATATTTTCAGCCCCGCTGTTCTCACCCAGCCCTCCCTCTGCCATCTCTCCGCCCTTGCCTCCCTGCCATTGACAGGAGATGCACGGAGGAGGAGGGAGGGAGAGGCGGGGGTGTGCATGGGCCTCTCTGCTCCTATTGGGCTATTTTCAGCCCCGCTGTTCTCACCCAGCCCTACCTCTGCCATCTCTCCGCCCTTGCCTCCCTGCCATTGACAGGAGATGCACGGAGGAGGAGGGAGGGAGAGGCGGGGGTGTGCATGGGCCTCTCTGCTCCTATTGGGCTATTTTCAGCCCCGCTGTTCTCACCCAGCCCTCCCTCTGCCATCTCTCCGCCCTTGCCTCCCTGCAGGTCCTATCGCGAACACTGGGATTGGGCCACCCATGGAGATTTGTCGCTTCGAAATTGCTCCACAGGTACACTCGCGACCTACCTTTCAGATTCTGCAGCCACAACATGCGCCAGCTGTAGCCAGTGCTCGACCGACCGTGGGCAGATCTGGGGGACTGGGGCACGTACCTACAGCCGCTCCGTGCAACTCGGGCTGGCAAAACGCTGTATCTGGTGCTTACGGCCAGGGCCAGAACCATGTGAACCCGGGTGCTGCCAGCGCATCACGTCCCGCAATCTCGAGCCCAGCCCATATCAACGGTTTCCCGGCTGCTTCACAGCGAGCAGCCATCCCGAATGCCAGTGGTGCTAGGTCCTGCGCAGCAACTTCACAAAGATCTGCATCTTTTGGAAGGCAGCATCCCCCTAGTATGATGGCTGGTGGCAGGGTCCACGTGCCTATAGCTGATGCACACACTGCCCACCCCGGTTCCCCTGCCTCAATAGGTCATGTACCGGGCGGCTCCTCAAGAAACCCCCCTGGAAGTGGAAATGTCGCGAGGCCAGGTGTCTCCTCTGGACACGGCTATGGTTCTCGTGGGGGCATGCATCATCCCCCCCCCCTCCCCAGGTCATGCGGCAGCTTATTCAGGCCATTCCAACCATGAGTCGGGCGCCATCCCCAATGGAATAGGGGGGCGTGTCAGCGCCGGTGCACGCGCAGCAGCATCAGCACCAGCGTCCCCCGCGAGTATGGGACGTGCTCCAGTAGCCAATGGACCGTCCGTCTCGCATCCGCTGAATCAGTCGGCCTCTGCCGGTAGTCAGAGGCCATTGGATGCACCGAGGCCAGTGGCTGCACCGAGGCCAGGACTCGGCATCCCCCTTAACCCTCACCCTCGTGCAGTCACATCGGTGGCAGAGCAGGCTGCAATGAGTAAGTATGCAACGAAGGGGGATTTGGCTGCACTGCGAACGGAGCTTCTACAAGCTTTACAAGCCCACACTTGCAGCCAGTGTGGAGCATCTGAAAGCTTGGGGACTGCAGCAGATGGTGGCGGAAACAACGGAGGTGGTGCAGGGGTTCAATATGCCCAGCCACCACGCACGAAATCTATGGTGGCCATAGCGATGGAAGCGGTGTCGGCCGAGCAAAAGGATTGGCGAGTAAGTACAAAATCTTCGTTCCTGTTGTATTGCTCGTGTGTCGGTGTACAATTCACAGCCATCGTATGCTAGGAACCACTTACCTGCCTTTATGCGTTCTTTTCCCGTAACACAATCCTTTCGGATAATGGCAGGGGGCGTGCAATCAAGCGGTGACTTGCCTCTTCTGGACCGACGATGCAGTGGACATTCAGTTTTATCCCAACACAGATGAGGCGCTTAGAGTATTCGCGAGATTACTGTCCCCTGATGCTATGACACATCTGAAGCTTCTATGGAACCTAACCGATGACCACATCGTGGGGACTTTTAGAGACATGTGCAACAGCAACCGCAGCAACGTCGCGAAGAGGCTCAGAGCTGTTGTTTTGACAGCCCTGGGGAGCGTGAAGAAGCAACACAAGGTGGCAGCGTTTCCGAAGGGAGTAAAAGGCCCTGATGCCTTTTATGAAAATAAGGAACTTGTCGACCATTACATGGACGGTACGTTGCATGGTGTGCTAACTCGCTGTCCAAAATGCTCTCCGGTTTGTCACATCGCGTGATTAACATGTTGTTTGCAACATACCATCAAGTGAATTCAACAATAATTCTCTGTGTCCTTACCTCCCTGCCATTGGCAGGAAACGCGCAGAGAAGGAGGGAGGGGGAGGCCGAGGTGTGTTCAACCCCGTTGCTCCTCTCATCCCTTACTCTCTCTGTGTCCTTATCTCCCTGCCATTGACAGTACTGTTCGCTCGCAGTGGCTCACGCGCGATGCTGCTGCCCGCCTTGCTGTGCGTAGTCACCTACCGTCCACTGAGCGCGCGCACTTTAGTCAGTACAAGAGTGCTAAGACTCTGTACGACGCTGTAGTTGCACGCTACTCTTCCCCTGCCACTGCTGCGCTTAGCCGCCTCATGCTACCGTACCTGTTCCCTGACCTCGCCGCTTTTGCCACAGTCACTGACCTCATTACGCACCTCCGCACTAGTGACACCCGCTACCGCGCTGCGCTTCCTGCTGAGTTCTGCGCCAAGAACCCCCCCCCCCATGTACATCACCCTCTACTACCTAGTCACCCGGCTCCCTGACTCCCTTCGCTCGGTCAGGGACCACTTCCTCTCTCTTTGCCCTACCACACTCACCGTTGACCTCCTCGAGGAGCGCCTCCTTGCAGCAGAGACTAGTATTACCGCTGTAGGAGCCTCTCGTGGTGACCCTCGTACCCCTTTCTTTGAGGGGTGCTCCCCCGTTCCTCTTTTGCCCTCCGTTGCCTCTGCTGCTGCTGTCGACCTTGTTGGCACCGAGTCGGTCAGCGCTGCGTCTGCCCCTAGCGAGAGGCGCCGCAACGGCAAGGGAAAGCGGGGCAAGGGCGCTGGAGGAGGTGGCGGGGGAGGCGGTAGTGGCGGTGGAGGGGGAGGAGGGGGTGGGGGTGGGGGTGGTGGCAGAGGTGGGGGCTTCGGTGGCAGCGGTGGAGGTGGAGGCAGCGGTGGCGGTGGCGGGTGGGGTGGAGGCGGCGGAGGCGGCAGCGGCGGAGGTGGAGCTGGTAGAGGCGGTGCTGTGCAGCGGGGACCCCAGCACCCACCACGCTCTCGTGAGACCCCGTCGCCCCAGCAGCTTCGTGAGTGGTACGCAGGGCGCCAGGGGTCTGGGGGTGCTGGTCCCTGTGCCTACGTCCTACGCACCGGCGACCGCACAGGAGAGCAGTGTGGCGGCTTGCACGCCACCCAGCGCTGCTTCGGCCGCCTGACCGACGCTTGGCGTACCCAGTTCCCTGACGCCACTGAGATCCCTCGCTGGGGTGATCTGCTCAAGTCGGGTGTAGCTATCTTTGATCTTGACTTTGATGCTATTCTTGCTGCCATGTATGCTGTGTCTATTAGTGCTGAGGGTGACTGTTACGGGTGTGTTCCGCCTGACCCGGGCATTGGGGCTGCTGCTCTAGGTGCTAGTGAGTCTGTTGCTCCAGGTGCTAGTGAGTCTGCTGCTCCAGGTACTAGTGAGTCTGCTCTCTCAGGTACCACGTCGGCTCAGGTTCTCCACACCTTCACCCTCGACTCGGGTGCTTCCCGCTCCTTCTTTCGAGACCGCACCACCCTTACGCCGCTCAGTCGGCCGGTTGCGGTCTCCCTGGCAGAACCCTCTGGGGGTCCTGTCCTTGCTCGCTACTCCACTGTCCTCCCGTGTCCGGCGGCCCCGTCAGGCTCCCTGTCTGGTCTCTACCTCCCCTCGTTCTCCACGAACTTGGTGAGTGGTGCTGACCTTCAGGATGCCGGGGTTGACCAGTTCACTCCTGCGAGTCAGCGAGTGACCCACTGCACGTGTGCTCAGACGGGCCGCCACTTGGCCACGTTTACCCGTCGACAGGGGTCGAGCCTGTACACACTGACCACAGAGTCTCCACAGGTTGCTGCGTCTGGTCAGGTAGCTGCGTCAAGTCAGGTGTTTGCTGCAGCGTCTCGGTCAGGTCCTGAGTCTGCCCCCTGCTCGTGTCGCCTCCTGTCTGTCAGAATGTCATTGTTCTCTAGCCTGCAGTGGGGTACTCTATAGCGAGTACAACCCCTTAGGGTTTCCTATATGTATCCTACTGCTTTCTAGTGAACCCCCTCTTCTTCTTCATTCTAAACTTCTCTACCTTCTAATCTTTTCATGCTATCAGAGCAGGTCGATCCCCTTGGGTCGATCCTGTGGGTGGGCTCACCACCTCACTGCTTCCGCTGCTACTGCTACTCTCTGTGTCGCACGCCCCGTAGCGTGCGACGGATTTTTCATCCCGCCGCGCGCTCGGAGCGTGCGGCGGTTTTCTGCCCGCCGTGCGCCCCGAGGCGCGCGGCGGTTTTCTGCCCGCCGTGCGCCCCGAGGCGCGCGGCGGTTTTCTGCCCGCCGTGCGCCCCGAGGCGCGCGGCGGTTTTCTGCCCGCCGTGCGCCCCGAGGCGCGCGGCGGTTGTCTGCCCGCCGTGTGCCCCGAGGCGCGCGGCGGGTTTCTGCCCCGTCACTCCGCGCGTCGCTCCCGGGAGGCGCTGCGACGGGCGACGGGGACCCGCGCGTCGCCCCCCGTCGCCCGTCGTGGCCTGCGCGCGGCTCGTACAGCCTGCGCGCGGCCCGTACGGGCTGCGCCAGGCCCGCGCGCGGCCCGTACGGGCTGCGCCAGGCCCGCGCGCGGCTCGGGCCGCCTGCGCGCGGTTCGGGCGGCTGTGCCAGGCCCGTGGGCGGCCCGTTCTTCGCTGCCCCTGCGCTGCCTGCTGTCCCCCGTGCTTCTGATGGCGCCCCACCCCTGCTGCTGCCCGTTCTCCTGAATTAGGGTTTGGGGGTGGGGAGTATGGGGGTGCAGCTTCTGTGTGCCGTCCCCTGCTCCTCCTCCTCCTCCGTCTCCCAGTGCTGCAGCTGCCGCTGAGGGGGGTGGACCTGTTGGAGCCGTCGGAGTGGTACTAAGGGGGGTGAAGGGGGAGTGGAGCTAGGGGTGAAGCAGGGGGTGTGTGTCAGGGGGAGTGGGACTGTTTGGGGAGGTTGAACTGAGGTTGTCGTCGTGTCGCCAGCAGCACCTGTAGTCCGGGGAGTTGCTCCGGTTGCAGAGGAGTTTCATGGTGGTTTATGTGGATGACATCCTCATTTTCTCACCCTCTTCTGACCTTGTGAAGGAGGTGATGCTGAAGCTTCAAGACAAGTTCAAGTGCAAGGCCCTTGGTGACGTGAGCTTCTACCTTGGGCTCCACATCGAACGAGATGTGGAGAAGCG